AAAACTTTCTTCTTGGAAAAAAATTTAATGATGAAGAATGCCTCAAAAATGCATTGACCGAATTTTTTGCATCAAAATCACAAGAATTTTACAACAGAGGGATTAAAATGCTTCCTGAGTGTTGGGCACAAGTAGTAGAAAACAACGGCAACTATATTGTTGATTAAATTTTGTTGTATTGTTTAAATAAATTCAATTTAAAAAAGTATTAGAAAACGACATTAATTATTACTAGACCTAATACATTACTTTCTCTCTCTCTCTCTCTCTCTCTCTCTCTCTCTCTCTCTCTCTCTCTCTCTCTCTCTCTCTCTCCCCCTATGTACTTAGTTTGTCTTGTAATTATTAATTTTTAAATATATTTTATTGATTTTTTACAGAGAGGAAGGGAGAGGGATAGAGAGTTAGAAACATCAATGAGAGAGAAACATCGATCAGCGGCTTCCTGCACACCCTCCACTGAAGATGTGCCCACAACCAAGGTACATGCCCTTCGACCAGAATTGAACTTGGGACCTTTCAGTCCGAAGGCCTACGCTCTATCCACTGAGCCAAACTGGTTTTGGCTGTCTTGTAATTCTTATATAGTTCAAAAGAATTTGCTAAGAAGTACTTAGCTATATCTCTGTTCATTTTTTAAGTATGTGGAATCTGATAAGCTATTTTTATCAACAAGCTTAGAAAGTCAATTATTTCAAAAACATATTCTTCCATTATGTATTGGATTATTGTTCCTATTCTGTTTTGACTTTTTTCTTTAGGATATACAGTTCTTTCATTGGTTCTTTATCATCTTCCTTCATGATTTTTACCTCTATTCTTTTTCTATAAATCCGTAGAGCAATTTTTATGATTGGCCTCAACATAAATGTTGTTTTCTGAATAATCAATATAGCTCTTAATTCTAACACAGATTTTATTTCTTCTATTACATTTTTAATTTTTTTGCAGTCATTCTTTATTTGTCCCATTTTTCTTAGTCTCAGTGCTAAGAGACTTATGGCCTTTGTTCCTGGTCCTACGGGAATATGGCTAATTTCCTTTTGACTATGCCAGCTAGTTTATAAAGTGTCTTGTAATGCATATAGAGAATTATTTTCAGAAGACTGCTCTTTTGTTGAGCATCAGGCTGATACTTCCTTTTCCTTGTCAAATAATCTTTTTTCTAGGCCCAATTTTTTCTCTTATGTTTGATGAAAGATAGCCATGTTCAAAACAAATGATGACGAACATATGTAGAGTATGGGTTGCCCTTGGCCTTGCTCTGTCCACTTGTTTGAGTTCTTTTTATATCTTTTGGCTCTAACATAAATTATTTATACATAACCTCTGGTGTATACCTATTGTTAAAAGTCTGTCATTTAGTGTAGCTTTTCTGGACAAAGTTGGGATCTTGTCTTACCTTCTCTTCGTTGCCCTTATTCTCTGACATACTGGTCAGAAAGCATACTGGTATAGGAGAGGCTGTGGCTCTCAGTATGCACCGAGTTCCCTGTCTTTTTTTCTCACATTACAAAGCTTTACTTCTTACACCTCTTAGGTTACCCTGTACCCCTTCCAGAACTACCTTCCTCTCCACTCCTGTAGAGTACATACATTCTTGGATATGCAAATTCCTTCTGAATTTCAAAAAGAGAGGAAGGTGGTCATGGGAATAACACTGTAGCAGCTACAAGAAAGTATACCTCTGAAATATAGGAACTACTTGCCCAGCTTTGTAAGGGATATAATCTTTGTATTTCCAAATCATGTGGTAGACAATGGGCAGAAGATAAAGACTTTCACAAGTATATCATTGTTTGATTTTTTTTAAAAAAGTACTCTGTTATTATTTGTATCATTTTTATCTAATTGTGTTGTTTTCATAATCAGTAGAAATTGTTACCAGAGTTTGTTAATCAGTTTAGCCTCAATTTTTAATTATTTGTAGTAGGAAATGTTTATTGAATATATATAGTATGTCAACACTGATATAAATGCCTTTAGTATATTAACTAATTTAATTTTTATAAAATCCTTTTGTGCGTTACTATAATTATTATCATGTTATAGATGGGGAAATGAGGCAATAAAGAAGTTGGACAACCAGACTAAGAATACCTAGCTAGCATGTAGAATAGTCAGGATATGAGTCCAGGTAATCAACATACTTGCAAATTGCATCTTTATCCTGTTTTTCTGCATCCTCACAGACTCAGTTTACTTCCTTTTTTCTTGCCTCTCTCCTTCCTTCCCTGCTTCTGTCTCGTCCTTTCTTCTATGATTATGTTACATATTAGGTACTGGCAATTAGATGTCATTAAAATATATGACCTTTTTGAGTTTTAGAATTTGGAATATAAAAGGTACATATATGTAAATATATATTTTTATTCTTTAGGTATTGCAATAAGGTTACTTTATGAAATAAAACATTGTACTTTCAGAAGTATGAATTTGTTCAGATTGCAGATTTATTGAACAGAATTAATTCTTTGTAGTTCTTAGCTTATTGGTCTTAGTTGAGTACTGAGCTATGGTAATGATGTCTACTCCTCCCTAAGCACCTGATTTAAACTAAGGAATAATTTTTTTGTTTTGTTATTGAATGATTTTTAGAGAGAGAGGAATCAGAGGAGGGGGGAAAAAGAGAGAAAGGAGAGAAAGAGATTTGTTGTTCCACATATTTATGCATTCACTGGTTGATTTCTGTATGTGCCCTGACTGGGGATTGAACCTACAAATTGGGCTATCAGGACGACCCTCTAACCAAGTAAGCTACCTGGCCAGGGCAAACTAAGAAATAATTTGAGTATCTGGAAGATTAGATTATGCCCAATCCAAGCACCACTTGCACATGAAATGTGGCTGTTGAGCACTTGAAATGTGGCTAGTCTGGATTGAGATGTGTCGTGTATATATAAAATACCCTCTGGATTTTGAAGGCTTGGTATAAACAAATATATAAAATGTCTTATTAATATTTTAAAAATATTTGTTGCATGCTGAAATGACAGTAATTTCGATTTATTGGATTAAATGAAATATATTAAAATCACTTTTGCCTGTTTTTCTTTTTTTAATATATTTTTATTGATTTCAGAGAGGAAGGGAGAGGGAGAGAGAAAAACATCAGTGATGAGAGAGAAAAACATCAGTGATGAGAGAGAATCATTGATTGGCTGCCTGCTGCATGCCCCCTACTGGGGATCGAGCCTGAAACTTGGGCATGTGCCCTTGACCAAAATTGAACCTGGGACCCTTCAGTCTGCAGTCTGATGCTCTATCCACTGAGCCAAACTGGCTAGTACTGTTTTTATTTTTCTTAATGTGGCTTCTAGACAATTCAAAAGAACATATGTGGCTCATGTTACATTTCTAATGAGTATTTAAAAGTGTATAAGATAGGGTACCTCTTCTTTAGGAATCTGGTGGGGAAGAAGACAGGCACTTAGAGGGGGTGGTGCCAGATTGGAGCTCATGAACAGGAGGGATCTGACACAGTTTTGAGGGTCTGCGGAGGGTGTCCTTTAGGGAGTTAGCGCATTGTGTTTTCTTCCTTTTTAACCTGCTATCGGACTCTTAAGTCTACTTTTTCGATTGAAGTAAATGAAAGTCAGAAGCTTTAAAAAATGTTTGAGAATCATTTATTTTAGTAGTGTTGGTTCTCACTCTAATGAAACGAACCAAGGTTGAAGTAGAAGGCTTGTGTCTGCTTACAGATACCACTGCTTGGCCCTCCCCCAGAACTGGTTAGACAACAAAATGGATGGTGATGCTACTTGCTAGGTGTGGAATGCAGGTCAATTTGAAATCTGTTGAGTTCAAGATTATCTGTGGAACATCTATATGGGGAGGAACATTAATCAGTTGGATCTGTAGAAACAGAGCCCCAGAAAAATCTCTGCTGATAATGTAGATTGATGTTAGATGAAGTCATAGAGTATGAGATCATCAGGAGGTGAGTAAAGTGAAAAATGGACAAACCTCTGAGGAACCTCAAGAAAGGTTAAGAAAAGGGAATATAAAGGTCATTGAGAAAGAATGGCCAAGGGAATGTGCAGATAGTGTCAAAAGTAGCTAAGAAATAAAAACGAAGATGGAAATGTCCATTGTCTTTAATAATGAGCTGGTTATTGGGAAGAAAGTGGGTTATGTGGCAAAACCAGATTGCAAAAGGTTGAGGAATTAATGGAAGATTAAGAATTGTTGGCAATGAAGTTTGGGAGTGAAAGGGTTGGAGAGGAGAGGCTTGTGGTAGCTAATGGCTGTGTTTAATATGTGGGGTGTGTGTGTGTGTGTGTGTGTGTGTGTGTGTGTGTGTGTGTGTATGTATGTATGTATGTTCCTTCTGTCAGTTTAAATCCACAAGAAGCCTGGACTTACATTCTTGGAATCCAGTGTCGCATCTTTTGTAAGGGAGCTACTTAGTAAAACATTATTGATCATGATTTTGATTCATTTAATATCTCTTTTTTCAACAAGATTCTTTATCAATATCATTTCTAAATTCTCTAAATGATAAACCTACATAAAAGCTTGATTTTTGTCTGAATTTGAATACATTAAGGCCTTTAGACATGGTTTACTGGAAAGAAATTGGGCTTTTGTAGTCCACTAAAAACTATAATTCAAATCCAGATTTTGACACTTTTTAGCTATGTGATCTTGAACTAATTGTCAACTTCTGGCCTTTTTTTCCTCATCTAGGATTGAGGATAATAACACCTAACCTTACAGGGTTGAGCAGGATTCAATGAGGAAATGTGTAAAGCGTTTTGTAAATAATACCTTATACAAAGCAGTCACTCGGTAAATGCTCTGTAGAAAAATCGTAGCTTTATGTGTTGTGTTACACATGCCAACACTACAGTTTCTGTAATTTGATTTAAAGTAGTATGTATAATATAATGTTATTACTTTATATTAGAGCAAGTATACTTAGTTGAAATTCAGCGATAAATTAACTTTTGAGTAAAAAATATTTCCTTTCTTGTCCCCTCCTTCCCTTTCCAATCCAGGTCCTGAGGGAGTCTAACAAATTAGCAGAAATGGAAGAGCCACCCTTGCTTCCAGGAGAAAATATTAAAGACATGGGTCTGTAACAGTATTTTTTGCTGAATTTCCTTCTCCTTTCTGACTGTACAGACTATTCAGAACTTTCAATATACAGAGAAAGGGATCACTGTTCTGAAGCATTCTTTACTGCTTGCCTTCCCAGATGTAGTGTGTTATTTGCCTGGGCTTAGACCTGTTGGTTTTGTTTGTATTTTGACTGCTGGGAAACATGCACATCAAATATTCTGCTATTTCTCTAATTACTTTACTTTCATCGAAAATAAGTGATTTAAAAAACTTATTGCTGAATTCTGTGAAAGAAAATGTCATTATTTTGAATTACCACAGTAAGATATTGGGTTGCCTAGATAAGAAACATTGAATTACACTTTGTACAAGTAATTTTTCTGAAAACCCTTTCTGTTCTTTTTCTTTATTTTTTCCTACTCTGTATACACTCAGGTCAGTTTTTGGATGAAAATATTTCATCTTCATTGCAAAGCAAGCCATTTCCATATGGATGTGTACTTTTCTTTGTCCAGCCTATAGAACCAAGCATTAACTTATTTGTTTGAACTGGAAACTAGAAACAAGCATTTAAGCTATTTTTCTTTTGTCTTCATGATTTTACTTTATTTATTTCATTCTTTATTATTTAAAGTATTACATATGTCTCCTTTTCCCCCCATTGACCTCTCCCTAGCCATTCCCACCCCCAAGCACATGCCCTCACCCCCTGCTGTTTCTGCCATGGGTTATGCTTATATGCATACCTACAAGTCCTCTGGTTGATCTCTTACACCCCCCCAAAAAAAAAAAAATCTTCATGATTTTATTTTAAAATACCCATAGCTCTTGAGAAAGTAATATAATAGGAGAATAAAGTAAATGGTTTATTAACCTGGCCAGTGTGGCTCAGGGGTTGACCATTGACCCATGAACCAAGTGGGGTCAGGATTTGATTCCCGGTCAGGTCATATGCCTGGGTTGTGCGCTCGATCCCCAATAGCAGGCATGCAGGAGGCAGCCTGTCAATGTTTCTTTTCCTCTTTCTTCCTCTCTCTGAAATCAATTAAAACATATTTAATAAAATAAATGGTTTCTTAGCCAAAGTAAAACCACCTTTCATTTTATTATCAATCAAAGTTTTAAAAGGACTTAATAAATGCTTAATTTTCCTTGTCCAGGTGTTATTTTCCTGTATAAAACTAAGCAAGCCAAAAGGTGACTACCTCCAAGTGGGTATCTCCCTAGTGTCTTTTTCCCCCCTACTCAGCCTCATGTTTACCCTGAACTCTTGTTCTGCTGAATGCATACTGAGTTAGGTATTATATCTTATCAACATTGGATATTATACACTGAGTGGTCAGATTATTATGATCTCTGAATACATAATAATCTGGCCACTCATTGTATATCCTATATAATAAAAAGCTAATATGCAAATTGTCCCCTCGACCAGCAGGCAGGCCGGCCAACCGCCCATGTCCCCTCCCCCTCATCAGGCTGGCTGGACCTCACCCATGTACGAATTCATACACCAGGCTTCTAACACACACTCTGGCCAAATTATTATGAGTTCACAGATCATAATAATCTGGCCACTCAGTGTATTAATTACAATAGTTCTCATTATTGAGTGCTCACTGTCTCATTAACCATCTTTACAGGAGTCTTCTGAGAAGGTGTTAATCCTATTTAGTAGATGAGGAAATTGAAGCATAGGGTGACTATGTACGTAATGAAACTATTGTGACAACTTTTTTCTTCTTTTGAACCTAGAGCACATTCCCTTTCTGCTGTGATAAATGACCCTACAAAGGACATTCTACTTGCCATTCAGCCTGTTTTGGGCTTCTCTTGCATAAATAGCATGACTCCCTTTGGGACTTTGTTCTTGACCCATTTCCCTTTTCCCTCCCATAAGGTCTTTTGGTTGACCATATCTAAATAGCTTTATTTACCATATACCTACTGGTGAACTCAGAATTTGTTCTTTCTATTGCCAACCTCTATCCTACTGTATATAAATAATTGCCTTCATCTTAGATACATGCCCTTGGATATCTTATAGATATCCTGTATACCCAACATCTCCTAAATTATTTCTAAATTTACTCCTATTCTTTTATTCTCTTCCTCAGTTAACATTAAAAACAGCTGTTCATTCACTTAATGTGGGTGAGCAGACTGCTTTTTTTGTGTGCTTTTTGTTTGTTTGTTTGTTTTGTTTTGTTTTGTTAATCCTTACCTGAGAATATTTTTCCCATTGATTTTCTTTTTTTTAAGAGAGAATGGAAAGGAAGGGTGGGGGCATAGTCGGGGGCGGAGAGGAAAAGAGAAAGAGAGAAAGAAACATTGATGTGAGAAAGACACATCAACTGGTTGCTTTCCTGCATGTGCCTGGACTGGGGCTGGAGATTGAGCCTACAACCGAGGTAAGAGGTTTGTGCCCTGGTCCTATATTGAACCCACAATCCTTCAGTCCACAGGCTGATGATCTAACCACTGAGCAAACAGGCTAAGGGCAAGACTGCTTTTTTCTGAACCCTGCTATCCAGTCAGTTACTAAATCCAGACAACTGCATCTCTAAGAATTTCTTTAATTATCTTTCCTCTTGGGTTTCATGAGCCCTTGGTATCATATTTATGTGTATTTAATTCCAGGTTCCTATGAGAATCTTCCAGTGGAGATATCTAGGAGAGAGATCTTAGGAAATTAGGAGAGAGATCAGGGTTGGATGACCATATTTTGAAATAATCAGAACATGGATATTAGTTGAAAAATGAGAGGAGGAAAATAAATTGGAGAGTGTATGGAGTGAGAAAAGGGCCAAGAACATAGCTAGGTAAATGTTTTGGAATCATATGGTAGAAAAGCAACCAGGGAAGGAAATTGAGAAGTGAAAAGAATATGATGGAATATAAATTACAGAGAACGACACTATATACTTACCTTTGTTTAAATAGGTACTTTACTTTCCCACTTCTGCATATTGGATTAGGTTTTTTCTCTGCATTGAGTGCTGTCTTATTATCCCTACCCATCATTGGGGTACAACTCACATGCCTATGTTCCTCGAACCTTCTCTGATCCCATAGCTCAGTAGTCGGCAAACTGCGGCTCTTGAGCTGCAATTTGCCGCTCTGTTGACTAATGAGTTTGCCAACCACTGACCTAAACTCTGATTCCAATAATTACAAGCTGTTGTTATTCCTTGTGATTATGCCCCTAGCTGAATGGACTTACTCTTCTCTGAACTAGAGCATGCTTTTGTGCCTCTCTTTCTGTATAGATTACATGTTGTCATGTACTACATTTATTTGGATCTATTTTATATCCTTATAGATATTTATACTCAAGGCCATTATAGTTTTGCCTCATGGAAATTATTATAGATTATTCCTCTGTGAACTCAGTGAAAATTTGAGAGGATTAATAAGTTTAAGATCTTTGGGTATAACTAGACTATATTAGTATTGCAGATTTAGAGGAATATCTAATATACTAAATAAAGTATTCTGATTCAGAATCATCTATATAGTCTTGAATATTGCATAAAAATTAAATTTAATACATTGAAGTACAAAGCTAGAGTAATGTTGAATAAGTTAATTTATGTAGAAAATATGTTTGATTTTTAGTTGGTCTAATGTTAGTCTGTAGTTTATTTGTTTTTTTAAAAGAGTAAGGGTAGGAACATGAACAGAATGCTTTAGGGAAGTAACAGGCTCTGAATCTGTGGCTTGGGCACTTCGGCAGTAGAGGTGGCCCGGACTGCAGTGTTGCAACCTTTGACACAGGAGACAGACTGTGCTATTCTCGTGGCCCCTTTGCACAATGTGGTGGAGAGAGATTTGAATTTGTAGACAGAGGAACTGCATTCAAGTCTTAGTCTTAGCATTTACTGGTTCTGAAACATTAGGCATTTTATTTCACTTCTCTGAGCCCTCATATTCTCATCTAAAACTTGTAGTTAATTCTAGGTCTTATATTTAAGGGTTGTTATGAAGATTGAAGGGAGATACTCAGATGAAAAGTATTTTATAAACTCTGAAGTGCTAGGCTGTCAGTGCTGGTTGTTATTACTGTTATTTTCTCAATAAGGTGCTTACTCACATTCTCCCTTTCTCTTGGTACAAGCCCTGCTAAACATAAACCCTTTTCTTAGAATGACTTAGCTGCCCCCAGCCTGAGGAGGAAGGGTAAAGTGGACAGAACAATGATGATAATAGTAACATGGGAATAAATCCTTGTATAATAGTTCTAATTTTGAAAGCACTTTCACATGTATTATCTTATGATCCTATATAATAGCCTAATATGCTATGTGTTCGGACGTCCAGTTATCTGCTTAACCAATCAAAGCATAATATGTTAATGATATGGTAAGGCCATTCAACCACTCCCTATGACATGCACTGACCACCAGAGGGTAGATGCTCAATGCAGGAGCTGCACCCTGGTGGTCATTGCGCGCCCACATGGGGAGCACTGCTCAGCTAGAAGCCGAGCTCAGCTGGTGAGCACAGTGGCGGTGGCGGGAGCCTCTCTTGCCTCTGTGGCAGTGCTAAGGATGTCCGGCTGCGTCTTAGGCATCCTCTGAGGGCTCACTGACTGTGAGAGGGCACAGACTGGGCTGAGGGCCACCCCCCCTTCGAGTGCAATAATTTTGTGCACCAGGCCTCTAGTTTTACAATAAAGGGATAAGTGTAACAGAAACATAAGACAAGGAGAGAAATATTCTGTATAGGACTATAGAATAATAAGGTTGATTTACTTGTGTAAGATAATGGCTCTGCAGGGAATCCAGAAATAATTTTACTAACACGAATAAAGCTTTCGTAGTTAAGGTAAAAATTCATAAAGTTAAGAAAATGTATTTAAGGCAAGTTTGTGTACCTTTCTATAATGATAGGTTTAATTTTAAAAGTTTTCCTCTAAGTGCAACATGCATTGGAAACAGTGATTTTAAAAATATTGCTCACACTTGAATATTCCCAAAGGGACTGTTTTGAAATGTTAGAAATGTTTGTTAGAAGATCAGTCTCTTGATCCTGAGCTGAGAAGACAAATGCAGAGAGAGAGAGGACCTATAGCACACAGGCATTTACATTTTTTTAAAAATTTAAATTATTTATTGTTTAATGTTTACATAAGTCTCCTTTTTCCCTCATTGACCTCCCCCTGGTCACCCCCAACCCCAGGAAATGTCCTCCTCTCCCCCTCCCCCCATCTCTGTCCATTGGTTATGCTCATATCATGACTCTCTTCCTGTCCAGTCATCTAAAAACCTCACTCTTATTCTTTGAGACAGCATGCAGGGACCTGGAGAGCAAAAGAAAAAGACAAGCATCAAATGATATCACTTATATGTGGAATCAAATGAAGAAAATAAATTGATGAACAAAACAGATTCTGAGACATTGAAACATGCAACAGACTAACATATTTCAGAAGGGGATGGAAAGAGATTAAATAAAGAACTTAAATGAGGGAAGCCTGGGAAGGGGTGGCTGTGAAGTGGAAGGGATTAATGGGGGGAAAAAGGAGGGATATTTGTTATATTTTCAACAATAAAGTTTAAAAAGAACAAAAAGATCAGTCTCATTTCAAATTCCATAGAAAGTAGTCATTTCTTCACAGTAATAACTAAAAAGCAAAGTCAGGAAGTTGCAATACTTTATTAAATGCATTTCATGTCTCTACATTTTCCCAGAAACCCCTTGAGAGGTCTTTAGGAATTTGTTCCTCCTAATTGTTGTGCCCTACTTCCTTGGCACGGTTAGGATATTTCTTTATTTGCCGATTTGCTACAATAATGACATTGCAGGGATTTATGAATATTTTAAGAAATAAAAAAAACCTCTTTGTATTGGGCATTATGAATTTTACCATATTAAATATTATTTTGAGGTATTAGTTGGTAGTTGAGTTAAGTAATACATGCTTTTAAAAGCCCAGTGCTGTATAGATTTGTCATATAACATTTAATAAAGCTTTGCTTACGATTATTGCTCCACAGAGTTGGACATCAGTTGCTTGGTCAGGAATATAATATCCTCTTATTAAGTTTATTTTTTCTAAGAGATTATATTTCATATGCACTCCTTCCCCATAAATACCAGGTCTGAAGTTTTTGGTATAATATATTTCAGCTATTGTATTTTTAGAGGTATGTTGACAGACTAGACTGTGGCCAGAAGACCAGCAGATTGTCGAAGTGTTGTTGAAACTATGATAAGATGATCGGTGACTGTGACATGAGACATTTACTGTTAACCACCATTACCACCACCCCTTCACCCACTGCTCCAACTACCACCTTTGTTTTATCCAACAGGCGTAGTGGCTTCTCTGTTTCCTTCTGTTTTGTCTCAGAGTAAGGGACATCCCCCTGCCTCTTCAAGTCCTTCACATTTATTTTCGATTTCTTCCCCCAATTACTGCATGTTTGGAAGCTTGGATTTGGATTCTGTGTTTATTTTGAATCATTGGTTATGTGATTTTTGAGTGTGAGTTAGAATAGCAGTCAGAATTCTATTACATTTTATCTGTGAAAAGATGAGAGTATAGTTTTTAATAGTGCATACTGCATAGTAAATTGTGGACCCTTTGCCTTTTCAGCCAAAGATGTAACTTATATATGTCCATTCACTGGTGCTGTACGAGGAACTCTGACTGTCACAAATTACAGGTTATATTTCAAAAGCATGGAACGGGTAAGTCTTGTTGGGTTGGATTTTTATGTGTATACTAGAGGCCAGGTGCATGAAAATTCATGCACTGGAGGGGGGTGTCCCTTAGCTCGGCCTGCCCCTCTCACAGTTCAGGAGCCCTCAGGAATGGGAGGCAATCCGGGAAGGCAATGCCTCCATCACACCTCTGCTGCTGCCACTGCTGGCAGCACAAACTTTGGCTGGTCCTGGTTACCTGCGCCTTGGGCTGGCCCTGGGCAGCTGGGGGATTGAGGGCGGGTCTGGCAGCACCATGTGCCTGTCGTGCCTCCCTCTTTCTCCCAAGCTGGGCTGAAAGGACTGTGGAACTCCAGCAGGGCTGAGGGGACTGGGTGCCACCGGCTTTGTGATGGTCTGATGGTCAATTTGCATATTCCCTTTTTATTAGATAGGATTTCTGTATTGTTTGCAGACAGTTTTAATTTTCAATAATTTTTAATTAAAGCGTTACCCATTAAAATTTTTCTCAGGTATAATTATACAATATTCATTGCTCAGTTTTGTTTTTCTCTTTCCTTCTTTTTAGGACCCTCCATTTGTTTTAGATGCTTCTCTTGGTGTGATAAGTAGAGTAGAAAAAATTGGTGGTGCTTCCAGTCGAGGTGAAAATTCTTATGGATTAGAAATTGTGTGCAAGGTAAATTTCATAATATGTATTCAGAGATATTTAATATGAAAAACTTTATATTAATTAGGACCTATCTTTAGAAACTGGTTACCCAATATCTAATGGATTTGTACCTGGAAATGCCATTCTTGTAGAGGAAAACAACATTTAAGAGTCATAAAAAGCTGCTCTATCATGAATTAGACTTGCATTCTTTTGGACCCAATAAAATGTACTTTAACATTAATTATTTCATGTTGAGCCTCATAAAAATCTTGAGATAGGCATGATAGACATTATTACCTTTAACTTAGAAACACAAGGATCTGAGCAGTGAAGATATGGCACTTTGTAGTTGAAGAACTGGTTATGATATATTCATCATCAACAATTTTTCTTTTTTCTAGTTTTCATAATTTGTGAATCTGCTTCTGAAACAGTGGTGGGGAAAGCTTGATATTAAAGACTTTTCCCGTTTTTGTATCAAACTTGCATTCTTTAAATGCATTGATACTTGAACTAAATTTAGATTGTTATAGTTTTCGTGTTCAGTCACAGATATTTAATACCATATACACTTTGCAGGCCACACCTAATTGGTGCACATCTCAGTTCTTTTTTTCTTGTCTGCCTATGCCAAAAGTAAAAGCAACAGTACATGCATACCTTTTAATATTCTTTTGTATGCTAATCTTAGCAGTTTATGAATCTATCATTAAAGCCAATGACTTAGTAATTATGTTTTTGCTTTTCCATTGTAGTCAGAATGGCTCTAGGAATGTAATAACTGTCAACCCTGTGTCAAGCACACTGTCTCCTGATCACTTTTCTGGAGTGTGATAGTAAATAGAACATAGACGCCAAGAGAAAATGAAAGAGGGTGGCTGAAATCTTGATAATTTCAAGTGCGATTTTTTTCATGGACAAGACCATTAACAAGCCTAGACATTTGTAGGGCTTTTGCTGGGCTAGTTAGAGAGTGCTCTGTGGTTAACAGATGCTTATGAACATCTCTACTGTTGTAAAGGTACTTACTGAGGGAAAACAAGCTATCAGCGTAGCTTCCTGTACATATTTGTTTTATAGGATGGTAGGACTAACATTCTAGTTTTAGCTCAGATTTGTAATAAAATGTGTTTTTTTTTATGTACATTGTAGTGTGACATCTGTTTTTGGTATATTAAAGCTATTTTGAGTTCTGCCTAGATTAAAACACTTAAATAAGATGAAGTCTTGAAATTTTTCTTAATCCTGAATTTTTTACTAATTGAGGTAGCTCAGTTAGTTAGAGCATCGTGCCAATATGTCGATACACCGAGGTTGCAGGTTTGATTTCCAATGAGGGTACATACAAGAAGCAACCAATGATGCATAAACAAGTGGAACAACAAATCGATGTTTCTATCTCTGTCTCAAATTAAGAAATTTAAAAAAAGAAAAAATGAATTTAAAGACAAATAATGTGAGGGAATCTTGGTCTTTAGATCTGACTGTAGTGCCCGGATGATACCAACCAAACTGTTCAGAGTTGATCTGCCAGTAGATGGTTGAAGGACTTGGACATGGAGTGGAGGAAGACGTTTAGGCAGAATTTGGTTCTAGCAGTCCAGTAGCAGGAGACTTAGAAAGTGGAGAACATGATACTTCAGATACAGTATCTCTAATCTCCAGTGTCACTTTCATGGATCTATCTTGAGTCCATAAGCAGTGGTAAATTTTCTGTCCTCTGTCTTCTGAGTAAAATGTAATTTCCCTGCCTTCAGAAGATGTCTAAGTTATTTTTGTACCCCACATTCACAGATCTTGACCCCTCCCCCTCCTCCTCCCCCTCCCCGCCTCCTCTTCTTCTTCCTCCCTCCTCCCTCCTCCTCCCTTCTCCTCCTCCTTCCTCTTCTTTCCTCCTTCTCCTTCCTCCTTCTTCCTCCTCCTTCTTTCTTCCTTTGTTGTACTTTTTTAAGAAAATTGATTTTGGCCCTGGCCCATTTGCTCAATGGTTAGAATGCTGGTTCAAGGACCAAAGGGTTACAAGTTCAGTTCCCATTCAAGGGAAGGTGGGGGAGGTGACCAAATTCATGTATTTCTGTCAAATCAGTATTTTCTCTCCCCCTCCCCCTTCCTCTCCTCCTCTCTCCCCCTCCTTCTCACCCCTCTTTCCTTCCTTTCACTCTCTTTAAAAAAATCAGTGGGAAAAATATCCTCGTGAGGATTTAAAAAAAATTATTTTGGAGAGAAAAAGACAAACATTGATTTGTTGTTCCACCCACTCATGTATTCAGTGATTGCTTTTTGTATGAGCCCTGACAGGGGATGGAACCCGCAATCTTGGGGTATTGGGATGATGCTCTAACCAACTGAACTACCCAGCCAGATCTTAACATTTTATAAGATAGTTCCAAGTTACCTAATCTGTTCATTAAGTAAAATGAACAATGAAAGATAACTTGAAGCCTAAATCTTTTTTAGGATATTCGAAATTTACGGTTTGCTCATAAACCTGAAGGGCGGACTAGAAGATCCATATTTGAGAATCTAATGAAATATGCATTTCCTGTATCTAATAATCTGGTAAGATGTTTATCTTTGGAAAAACTGTATTATCATTACTTATGTAGTGTAAAGAAATTTGTCTAGGCTATCTAGAATCTACATTTATGATCCTGCTTTGCCATTCAACTAGATGGGTATAAGGTTTTAACATGATCTCTTAGAAAAATTTTTAGTATAAAATGAGGAAGCTGGACTAGCTGATTTCCAGCATCCATTCTTGTGTACTGACATTCAATAATTATATGATCTTTCCAGAGTGTATCCATAATGAAGAGCAGTATATAGTCTTCCTTTGGGTTTGAAATCTTTTTAATTGGGAGCTGACAGTTTAGCAACTTTAAGAAAGATACTTAACTAAGTCCCTTACAGTGTGCTTTTAACAGTGTTAGGCTTCCTCATTTATGTTACACTAAAGGCCTGGTGCACAAAATTCATGTTAGGGGGTTGGGGGAGGAGGTCCCTTAGCCCTGCCTGCGTCCTCTTATAATCTGGGACCCTTCGGGGGATATCCGGCCTAAACCAGCAGTCGGACATCCCTCTCGCAATTCAGGACGCTGCATGCTCCAGTGACCATACTTTTCATACAGGTGAAAGGCATCTTGCTGTTGTGTGGGCAGCTACATTTTTTTTGCCCTAATTATAAAAAGTAGTACGTAACATGATCCTTCTGAGGCAGTAGTAGCATTTTCCCCATCTTACGGGTAGAAAAACTGAAGCAGAGAGAAGTTAAGTAATTGGCTTTGTCATACAGTTGTAAGTGTCAGAATCAGGGCTGATCACAAAAATGTGCACACCAGAATCCATGCATGTCATTGCTGCATCACCCTCTTTTTTTTCAGTGTTAGACTAGCCTTGCCAGGTTTTAATTTTTAAATCTAAGAGACTGTTCCCAATACATAGGGCAGGGTCCGTAGGCCTGGCCCATGAGCAGGGCCATCTATGGGTTAACAGGTGGGTGGGACAGTCTGGGGGCCCAGCTTGAACCTGCCTTGGCTGGTGGCCTGGTGTTACCCGCTAGCTGGCCCTGTCCCCCGATCGCCACCACCGGTCACCTCCCTCTGGAGGGGGGGGGCAGATGCTCAATGCAGGAGCAGGACCCCCCACCCTCACCCCCCTGACTGGGTGAAGCTCCTGCATTGAGGATCTGCCCCCTGGTGGTCAGTGCATATCATAGTGACCGGTCATTCTGCCGTTCGGTCGATTTGCATATTAGGGTTTTATTATATAGGATAATTTAACTTCCAGAGTAGCCCTATCGTGGTCAATATTATTTATCCTGACTTTAAAGTTGAAACCAGGAGCAGGTAAATAATTAACTCAAGGGAATAGCTACTAGGGAGTAAAATTTGGAACTAGTAACTCCAGTTTTTGTATGTTTTTCCTCAAAGGTGCTTAACTCCTGATATCTGTGATGTCAGACTAATTATATCAGAAGACACACTTTTTATGAAATGTCATTTTTTTAGAGGTAAACCTAAAACAGCTGCTTTTGATATCTGAAGGAATTATGGTGAATTGTTAACATTTAATAAATCTTGGTGGTTGACCTGTGTTTTTCTATATGTTGGAAAAATTTGAAAAAATAATACGTTTTCAAAATTTTTAAACAAAGCTAAAAGAACAATATAAAAAAAAGACACCAATACAAAATATCCTGGCAGAGAAGTAAATGGAAATATTGGATTTGATGAGGATATATTTCTGATTAATTATCTTCTTAACTGTCTTTTTAGCTCTTAACTCTGATTGCTTTTTTGTAGCCTCTTTTTGCTTTTGAATACAAAGAAGTATTTTCTGAAAACGGGTGGAAACTATATGACCCTCTTTTAGAATATAGAAGGCAGGTATGTATTTTTTCTTTTAATTTTACTATATTATATTCTTTTTATTTACTATATTATATTCTTTTTATTACAACATTTTATGGGAAGAAGTAAACACATATATATATAGTCGTGTGGTTTTTTTTTTTTTTTTTAAATAAAGGCTAATCCTGCTTTTAGAGCTGTCTTTCAGTTACCTTAAACTGCTTTCTAGACTGTGCCAGTGATTTTTAATGAATCTTTACTTGTCTAAGAATTTACAGGTAAATCAGTTTATTTTAAAAAATATTTAATAGTTTTAAAAATTAAAATAAAATGGTAAATACATTAAATTTTAATGTCTTACATCATTAAACATTATTTACTCAATTTTCCTCTTTTTGTGTATGCTGTAATTTAATTCTGAAAACATTTCAAATAGTTCTGTTTATAATGTAGTGCCACCTAAAACTATGAAAATTTTACATATTCACTTAGGCTACACATTTACATAAAATGTTAACAAATCAAATCTGGTATCATGACTAAGGTGGGTTGGTTTCTTATTTGAATGCTTATCAGTGTGATTTCATTACCACAATAAGAGAGATAGCTGAATCCAATCTTGAAATCAGCATCACAGTGAATGTGTCATTCTCCCTATTTTCCCTCAGTACACCAATTCCCAAAGAGGTCCTGCTCCCTGCTCCGCATAGGGGAGGCCGGGGGAAGGTCCATCAATTGGGGGAGGGGGGGGGAGGAAGGAGAAATATGTACTACTATTTGTAAATCTTTAAACAATAAAAATTAAAAAAATAAATAAACAGTACCTAAAATAGTCTTTATTTTCACTTTTCCACATGTTCATGGTACTATCTTGAGAATTTAAGTGCAGACACATTGATTGCTTTTTGGTAATCATTAGATTTGATATTCAAATTGTTCTAGAATTCAGGTTTGAAAATCATTAAGCTGTGATTTTCGTATTTAGATTCCAAACATTGCATTTTAATTATAAAACTTCTCATTTAATCATGTGTGACACGTATAATTTAAAATTCCTCATTCAGTTATAAAACCATCTGCTGACAAATATGAAGTAGGATACAAAATAAGTGGGTCAACTAAACCAGGCCATTCTAAGATTTTTGCTAACCCAAATCTTGGAAAGCAACCAACAAATCTAACAAATGTCTTTATAATTGTAAAAATATTCTTTGGGAATCTGGGCAGAAATTGCTATCTATTATTGTAGCATTCAACATTGAACTTTGGAAAGCAGATGAGAATAACTGTGTCCAAGAAAAGAAATAAATTATTATTAAAAAGAAAAAATAAAGAGTAAATGAACTATTCCCATAAAGAGAATTATGAGATTAGGAAACATGAAAGTCAGAAGAGAGCATTGAACTCTGCATTAAATACATGCTTATGGTTTTTGACTTATTAGATGAATTTGTTGAATATTTTTCTAAAGTCAGACACTTAATTTGTCTCTGAGAAAGCAAGCTAAAGTCTAATGGAAAAACCACTGTATTTGTAATTAGAAGGCTTAGTTTTTTCAATATTTTCTGTATGTTATAGAAGAAAATGAAGGTAGTAATCTCTTAATATAAACCTTAAGATTAGACATAAAGCATCAGAGTATTCTTTTTTTTTTATTGAAAAATATTGAAAGTGGAAATTCTTGCACACTGTATAAAATTCAAAAGGTACAAAAGGGAATATTGAAATGTAGGTTGGTTACCTACTAGGCCAACCTTATCCCCTTGCCATCCCAGTTCCTCCCCTTCAGGAAATATTGTTACTAGTTCTCCATATGTCCACTGAGAGATTTTATGCCTGCAGAGCAATATATATATATATATATATATATATATATATATATATATATATATATATATATATATATTTTTTTTTTTTTTTTAAGCAGATGATACCATTCTCTGCACATTTTCTATGCCTTTTCCATTGTGTGCGTGTGTGTGTGTATAAAGAGGCTGCTGGCATAGTGCCTGCACATAGTAGGTGCTCATAAATATATTTTTACTATAATTTGGTTTCTTTTAATTCTTTTTCTGTGGTGATATGAGTTGTCAGATGTAATAACATTTTAAAAATATATATTTTTAAAATCCAGCCATTTAATATAAAGGCTTTATTTTCTGTAGAATGGAGGATGAAAAAATTTAAGGTCTTAATAAACAGCCCTGTATGTGAAGTAGTACCCTAGTGTGTGTGTGTGTGTGTGTGTGTGTGTGTGTGTGTGTGTGTGTATATATATAATATTGAAGAAACCAATGAGAGCTTAATAATCAATGTGTATTTAAAAAAATTTACAAATATTTTGCTTGTCTCTTTTTGGCTTTGCTTTCTTTTACTTCCTTGCTTTTCTAATATGTTTTAGATTAGAAATATTCCATTAGTACTATAATGTAGGAGTGAAAAACCTCACTTTCGTATGTAAGTGGTAAATGTATATATAGCATTTTGTGGACACTTGGTGCCTTCACTCTCAGATTTTTTTTGTATAGATAAATGACAGTAAAACCTATCACCCAGTGAAATTGAATGATAATGTTCTGTTTGAAGACAGGGACTATTTGCAGTCCCACCATTTCCTTCCTTCCCATTGGATATGCTTAGCACATATCCAGCACACAATCAGTGCTTAATCTATTAACATAAAATCAAATGTAAAAAAGAATGCATATCACTGTTAGATTCTCTCAGTCTAATAGGCTGGTCACCACAGGCAGAACATAATTATTCCAACAATTTAAGAGCTGGACAGCGGAGATGAGAGAGGTTGAATAGGATGGCTTCAGTTTTCATGTCTTAAATTTTAGTTAGACATTAATTTGTCTTATGTTTTTTTTACATATAGGGAATTCCAAATGAAAGCTGGAGAATAACAAAGATAAATGAACGATATGAACTTTGTGATACATATCCTGCTCTCTTGGCTGTGCCAGCAAATATTCCTGATGAAGAATTAAAGAGAGTGGCAACCTTCAGATCAAGGGGCCGAATCCCAGTGAGTGTGAAGCTGTGATGAGACTTTGCACATGCTTTTGTACTGAGATTAAGGACTTGGAGAATGGATACAGGATAAAAATAGCTACAGCCGAAGGTGTTTATGGTGATATTAGAGAATGAATTATTTAGTAAAACTGAAACCTGGGGGAAAGGCTGATTAAAGAAGTGTCTGAAGAATGTGACATGGCTATTAGGTGCAACGAATTGCATGATTCTTAACTTGAAAACAAAGTTGGTTTTTTGTATTTTCACTATTTTGTTGTACATTCGTGGTGATAAACGCTCTTTTCCTTTAAATCCTAGAAACAAGAAAACTTTACAAAATCTTGATGAATTACTGTGTTCTAGAAAGACCAGCTTCAATAATTTTAAGTACAAAATTCATAGATTTGAAAGACATTATAGTTGGGAAGTTTTGCTGATATAGTAATAAAACTTTAAAAGTGGGACTTAGCCCCTTTTTAAAGTAGGTTTTCTAGAGATAACACTTCCCAATAATCAATGACTTTTATAAATTAATATCTGACAAAGGTATTAGACTAAGTTTTTCATATCCTAGAGTTGGTTTGAAAAAAAAGTGATGATATTTGATAGCCAATATATCTTATCATGTCTAGGGTTTGGACTCAATTAGAAAGCAGAGTTTTATAGAGTAATTTTTTTTAGGAGAATCATAAACAAATAAATATATATAAAGGGTGTATTGCCATTTCCCCCCCTTTTAGGTTTTATCCTGGATTCATCCTGAAAGTCAGGCCACAATCACTCGATGCAGCCAGCCCATGGTAGGAGTGAGTGGGAAGCGAAGTAAAGAAGATGAGAAATACCTTCAAGCCATCATGGACTCCAATGCCCAGTCTCATAAAATCTTTATATTCGATGCCCGGCCAAGTGTTAATGCTGTTGCCAATAAGGTGAGATTACTTTTCAGTAATTAATATTATAGTTTCATGAATCAGCTCAGTTTGGCAGAAGCCACAATGCAGTAGAAAGAATTCAGGCTTTCCAGTGATAAAGATAGATTCTAATTCTGGCTATCCTTGCTGTGGTATGACTTTGAGTTCATTATTTAATCATTTTAGACCGTGATTGTTCATTTGTAAAATGAGAATAATAATAGCTAACAGGATGTAGTAAAAAATAGTGCAGAACCCTGTGCTTACATAAAGATAGGTGTTCAGGGAGAATTATTATTCTTTCTCCATCCTCCAAATGACACCTCAGTTTATGCCTGAGCACCGCTGTAGGAATCAGGAAGCAGTGTTCTTAATGACCAGCGGTGCCCTCTCCTGACAGCCCTGCACCTGTACAAGCTGTTCACACTGAAGACTTCAGTTAGCTGGAGCAGTCGTCCTGAGTGCTGCTATGGAATAAATATTTGCGTTGTGGAAATAGAAAGTCTGGTTGACTAAATCTATCATAGGAAAAGGTGAGAGAAGAGATATAACTTAGTTTTAAGAAGGTACCTTTCTTTTTTAATCCCCAATAAGCAATGTGTATGTATTACAGAAAATAACCTAGTGCAAATGAGCAAAAAAAAAGAAAAGAAAATACTTAAAGCCACCCTTAATTCTGTAACTACAAGAGAACCATAACTAAATTGTGCTTCTAGTTCCAGACCTATGTATATATGCATACACTCATATATTTGAAACAGAATGGGATAATTGTAACTTAAAAAAATTGACATTGTATCTTTCTATGACAGTAAATGTTTGTAACATTATTTCATCTATTACATTACAAAATATGAAGTAGACAGTATAAAAAATTAGGAATACATAGAAAAGGTAAAAATCACATATAGTCATTAAGATGTTTTATATTTTCCTCCACTTTTTTTTCTATGCATTGAAGTGTTGGTTATTTTGTTTCATTGTTTTTTCTATTTCCATTTTATTATAAGAATAATTTCTTTTCATGAAATATTCCTATAAAATAACAGTACTCATAGTATAGGTGTATCATTCTTCTACTATTGGACATTTAAGTATTTAGTATTTTAAATATAGCTGAAATAGATACTTTTGTTGGCATCTTTATTTTCTTAAAATAGTTTACTAGATATACATTTACTATATTAAAATTTAAAATGTGCATTTTTTAACGTTTTGATTCATATTGCAGATATTCTTCAGAATGGTTGATTCAGGTTACTAACTTGGTGTCTCCCCTGCTCCTTACTATCCTATATAATAAAAGGGTAATATTAAAATTGACCCTAATGATGGAATGACCAGTCACTATGATGTGTACTGACCATCAGGGAGCAGATGCTCAACGCAGGAGCTGCCCCCTGGTGGTCAGTGCGCTCCCACAGGGGGAGCTCCGCTCTACCACAAGCTGGGCACACTGGTGGTGGCGGGAGCCTCTCCCACCTCCTTGGCAGTGCTGAGGATGTCTGACTGCAGCTTAGTCGGACATCCACTGAGGGCTCTTGGGCTGCCAGAGAGATGTCTGACTGCCAGCTTAGGCCTGGCCCTCTGGGGAGCAGGCCTAAGCCAGCAGGTGGACATCCCCCAAGGGGTCCCAGATGCCAGAGGGCGCAAGCTGGGTAGAGGGACCCCTCGAGTACATGATTTTTCGTGCACTGGGCCTCTAGTGCTGAGATATAATTGACATTTGACATTGTATAAGTTTAAGGTAAACAATGTAATGATTTCATATATGTATATATTATGAAATGATTATCACAGTAATTCCAGTTTATCATCCATCACCTCACATACTTACAACTTTATTTTTTCTTATGATGAGAACTTTTAAGGTCTACTCTCTTAGCAACTTTCACATATACTGTGAAGTATTGACTGTAATCACTATGCTATATGTTAGATCTCCAAAACTTATTAATCTTATAACCAGAAGTTTGTACCTTTTGACCACCTTCACTAAAATCCCCCACTTATCCCTCTTTTTTAATTTGCAAAAAGTATATAACCTTATTAAAACAAATAATTTTTTGCCTGAATAGGTAAGAAAAATTTTATGATTGATATGAATATGACAAATGTTCTTGCCCATGTAAAGAATTAATGGTTTGCTGGGCCCGACTGGTATGGCTCAGTGGTTGAGCATGACCTATGAACCAGGAGCTCAGGGTTCAATTCTCTGTCTGGGCACATGCTTTGGTTGCAGGCTTGATCCCTGAGGGAGACATGCAGGAGGACTGATGTTTCTCTCTCTCTGTCTCCCCGTCCCTTCCACTGTCTCTAAAAATCAGTGGGAAAAATATCCTCAGGTGAGGATTAACAAAAAAACCACCTTGTCCGCCACTATGTCTTCCATGTATGCCCTACACCAGCAGCTGCCAGCTGGTAGTCCAAAAGGTTGGCAACCACTGGTTTAAGGAAACCAGCAGCGATTGTTAACCTGTGGTCTGCTTGGTCTGAGAGGCCGGTGACCGCCGCCCTACCCCAGTTAAATTCACTTAATACCATCTTCTTGCATTTCTTTATACTTTTATTATAGCAGTGTACATACCTAGATACTGTATGTAGGTTAGCCTTTACCTTTTTAAATATTGCATTTGATATGTCTTTTAAGTATCCCTTAATTTATAACCTTCCCTTTGCCTCAGCCTTTTATTTATTTATTTAGTTTGTTTGTTTCTTAGTTAATTCTCACCAGAGAATATTTTTTTTCTGTTGATTTAAAAAAAATTTTTTTATTTAAGAGACTGGAAGGGAGGAAGAGAAGGTGGGTGGTGGGGTGGGGAAGAGAAACCTCAACATGAGAGAGACATGTATATAATTGAAGTGACTGTTCCATTATTTTTTCCAGTTTTTCCTCATTAGTGCTCTAAGGTGTGATTTTTACACCTAAGATAAGTAAGAGATAGATGAATTATTTTATTCATAAAATAGAGAAAGATTAATCCAAAAAAATTATTCCCCCTTTCAGCCATAGTTTAATTCAAACACCAGATATTTCGCATCTGTTCTGTAGATGTAGATTTAAGTCTCTGAGAATAGGGATACTATTGCACTATAGTATTTGTGCTTTTATACTTATTCTGCCTTTTTACTTAAAAATAATTATGTGGCTAAAATAAAAGCAAGTCCTGAAGATTGCAAAGTATTTTGTGAATATTAGATTAAAATGAGGTGAAGCAGCATGGGCCAATAGTAAAGTAGACATGTATTTCCTGCACATGGAACTTACTAGTCTGGTGATTTCAGTCTTCTGTAAGAAGTTTTTTGCATAGGAATGGAAATACGGATAGGTAAATTTAGTGCTTTAAAATGTGTAAGCATCTTCACACATGTTATCTCTTTTAATTTTTATAACAGCCACATAGGAAGTCAGGTTGAGAGTGTATATTGTTTTTAAAGAAAACTTGGGGAAGAGAGTAGTGATGTTAAGCAGCCCTGCTTGTCCATATTTTCCCATGAGGTGTCCTTTTCATCAGTAGTAAGTATTCTCTTTTATGCTATTGGATATTTTATGGCACTTATTCATGGGTGCCAACATATTACGGATGTGCGTCCATTTTTTATTTCTTGTGGTGTGTGCTTTGTTTCCAGGCCAAGGGTGGAGGTTATGAAAGTGAAGATGCCTATCAGAATGCAGAATTAGTTTTTCTAGATATCCACAATATTCATGTTATGAGAGAATCCTTACGAAAGCTCAAGGAGATCGTGTACCCCAACATCGAGGAGACCCACTGGCTGTCTAACTTGGAATCTACTCATTGGCTGGAGCATATTAAGGTGGGCTGTTTCCTATGTTGTTACAGAAAGGGTGCCAAACCTGCACTTTCTCTATACCTGCATTGGCTCTTACTGCCGGGATCAGGACAAAGATACCTTGCTAAACAGTGAAAAGTTAATAGCTGCTTTGATAATTGAATTACTTCTAAGTTTTGGTGCTTGAATGAATTAGTTTTCCATATTGTGCATTTGGTCTGTTGAACTTCTTTCTCTTTTTCCTGTCTTGTCTGAATTCTCCCCATCCTTCAGGTCCTCACTATTCTACCTCACTTATTCTGGAAGTCTTGCCAGATTGCAGTTTCCAGTTTGTCTGAAGTTTTCACTTTACTTTTTCTTTCCGTTCAATTAGTCCTACCTCATACTTCATTTAATCACTTTTGGATGTCAGCTCAGTGGAGATCACGGCTGGACAGATCATGATCATATTTCTTTCCCATCAGGAGCTAGGGCTGCGCTATCTGAGCAGCAGGCACGGGAAATGCTTGTTGGGCGGCTTGTGAAGTGTTGATCATGCTGGTCAGGGGAGTGAGGTGAAGAAGCTGAGTGAAGGATCAGTTATTTGGAGACTACCATGTGAATGCTGATTTGCCTACCATGTTAAGATAATGTGTGAAGCACCAAATATTATTTTATTTAATAGAGTTATGTATTTATTTCAGATATGGTCTGAATTTCAGTAACATAGCTTATTTTTATAGCCTCATATATTATTATTATGATATAAAGGGAAACGAGATTTTTCGTATTAATAAGGAGCAGTCTTATATCAAAATCTCTAAAATTCAGACAAATTGCAGAGAAGGCCAATTTGATGAGAATTGTAGACTATTTTTTTTATTGCTTGTCTTCTAGAAGCTTTAGTGGCTCACCTATTTGTTGCATGATGTATAAGTAGAAACCCACAGATTTATTTAGAGCTAACATAAATCCTCTCTTCACTCTAAATTCCATTTCATAGCAGGTGCAACATTCTCTTCGAAAGGCTGGCTATACCAGAAACAAGTTTCCTTAGAGGCACAAGAGAGGCACTTGTGCCTGCACCACCTTCTCCTCCCCAGTTCTCACACCTGCTTAGTCTCTCACTTTCTCAGATCCTTGCTCAAATGTCACCTTCCTAAACAGGCTTTCCCAACTGGCACATACGAAGTGACAGTTCTGCCAGAACCCCCTCATATGTTACTGAGACATTCATCCCTAGCAAAAACTATTAATTTTAAAGAAGGAAGCATTTAAAAAAATTTTATTTAAAAAAAAAACAAAAAACTTTTGCAGCTCATTCTTGCCGGCGCACTCCGCATTGCTGACAGAGTGGAATCAGGGAAGACGTCCGTGGTGGTGCACTGCAGCGATGGCTGGGACCGCACCGCCCAGCTGACGTCGCTGGCCATGCTCATGCTGGACGGGCACTACCGGACCATCCGCGGGTTCGAAGTCCTTGTGGAGAAAGAATGGCTGAGCTTTGGACATCGATTTCAGCTTGTGAGTAAACAACCTTGACTCAATGTATTCCATGCATCAGGCGTGAAAATAATGCCTTCTATTCATCCCATATTCATCTAGAATGGATCATTTATTCTAGAGGGGTAAACTTCTCAGAACTTTTTTTGTTTTGGAAAGCATTAGCGTCTCCAGCTTTGCAGCCTGGAGCCAGGGCTAGCTATTTGCCAGGCGCCTGACCCAGTGTCTTCTGTGATCTCTACCAGGAAACACCAGGCTCATCCCACCATTTCCATGGGCGTCTCCTGTCCACCTGCAGTTGATAGTTCAGATTAGCAAGAATGGTGTGGAATTACAAGACACTTAGAGCTTTTCCTATAGATTTAAAAAAAGAATAGAATGGCTGAATTATTATTCCCAATTTAAAGTAGCCCTACAAAGTAGCATTACTTACACAGGATCATGGTCTAAAAAAACTGGGCCTGAAAGAAAAAAAGTAAAATGTAACTCAGAGTTGGGAATAAAACAACTTTGTTATCCTCTTTAAGGCACTAAACCCTTGGCCAGTGTTGCAGCCCTAGCCAAGTAGCTAATTTGGTTAGAGCGTCATCCCAATATGGGGTTCCATCTTTGATTCTCGGTCAGAGCACATACAGCAAGTAACCAGTGAATGAATAAATAATTGGAACAACGAGCTGATGTATCTCTGTCTCTTCCTAACAATCAGTAAATTAAAGTGTTGCAGTTAGTTTTATGGAAATAGCAAATTTTTGTGTCTTCTGTAAGACTCAAAATTATGTTGATGTTATCGTTGGTATTAAATTTAAGAGTCAGAAGGAAGTCAGGGCCCAACAGTTGTTGAACATCTGTGGTGTCCCACAGTGACCGCTCGGCGTGTGCATTCACGTGCAGGCAAAAAGCAGTGGTCTCTCCCGGAGGCTGTCCATCTCCCTTCAGAAAGTCTACCTGCTCCCACCCTCTTCCTCGTAGGGAATTAAAATCTGCTTCCCAATGTTTCTACATTCCCCTTTGGAGATAAGAAAACAAATGTACCTACTTGTTCATATAACATAGGCTTCAAATATTAGGAAGTAGCTGTTAGCTCATGTCACTTATAGTCTGGCTAGTTCTGGCTAGCCATCCACTTTCCTCGCTTTTCCTAAGCTCCTCCATCCTAGTTGTCCTCTGGACCTTTCTGCAAGTGGGTAGCCAGAACTAATCACAGGTCCTAAATATAGGAGTGGGTTTATTGTGTCCCCTTCACATTTGCTTTTTTGTTACATCACACTTTGGATTTGTGTAGCTATTACATAAACACCCAGTCAAGTAGTTTCTGCTAACCACTAAATTTGGAATCAGAAAACTTGGTTCTTACATAATGTCTATTTGTGTTAGTTACAATCATAGAATTTGGAGAGTATGAAGTAGTATTTTACGGAAAGGAGGAGCAGGGTGAGCACGTGTCTAGATAGAATTGAGTGTGGCAAGAGTAGCAATGAGGATCAGGTTCAGAGAATCTTGGACAGGCGAGGAGTTAAGTGTGTCAGGGACCACAAAACCACTGCGTGTGTGGCTCGTGGCAGCAATTTTGTAGACGAGCTGAAAGGCTTTGTGAAAGATGTCTACCCGGGTGCTGTCTCTAATGTTGACCTTTAGGGTCCAGTAGTTGCTAGGATATGTGGGCATTGTTTATGAGTTGCTTGAGGGAAACACCTTTAATGCTCTTTTGAACTTGACCTGTGAAGTTGGGCATCTGGAGTATCTATTTAGATGGCTCATGTTTTTCAATTCTCTATAAAATGAGAAAACTATTTAAAAATAAACACAAAATTTACTTCAGAGAATAAAGTTTTAGCCAAAGCTGCACATTTATATAAATGTGACCAAAATCATAAACATATCAGAATGTTTGAAATTGCTATGGATTTCTAAATTGTCAGCTCTGGTTAGCTACTCCATTTTCCCCAGGTGTTATGTGAAAGCAGAATGTGACCAATAAAGGACACCTGGTCAAGATGCTGTGCTCACACATGGTTAATAGAGGGCAACGATTCTCACACTTGTTGATTTCAAGACCTCTTTCACTCTTGACAATTATTGATGACCCCAGAGAAATTTGCTTACATGGTTTATATTGTCAGTGTTTACAATATTAGAAATTAAGTTGAATACTAATTAAAGAAATCTATAATATTTGTCTTAGTCCATTTGGACTGTTATAATACCATAGACTGGGTGGCTTATAAACAACAGAAATTTATTCCTCACAGTTTTTTTGTTTTTGTTTTTTGTTAATCCTCATCCAAGGATATTTTTTCTATTGATTTTTTTTTTTTTTTTTTTTTTTTTTGAGAGAGAGTGGGAGGAAGTGGGGGAGAAAGACATCAATGTGAGAGGTTGCCTGGGGGATCGAACCTGCAACCCATGTATGTATCATTGACTGGAAATTGAACCCTCAACCCTCCAGAGCACAGGCCTATGCTCTAACCATCGAACACATTGGCCAGGGCCATTTTGAGGGCTAACAGTTCAGGGTCAGAGTGCCAGCATGGTGAGGTTCTGGTGAAGACACTCCTTTGGGTTGTAGATTGTCATCTTCTCTCTGTGTCCTCACATGCAGGAAGGGGGCTCGGGAGCACTGTGGGGTCATTTTTGATATGAGCACTAACCCTGTTCATGAGGATTCCATCCAGAGACTTTTTTCCTATGACATCACATTAGTTCAAAATATGAATTTTGGGAAACATTAACATACATAATATTTTAAAGAAAAAATATATTTTCCAAACCAAAAAAGTTTTCATGAGAAGCATTGTTTTATGTTTTGAATATATTTTATTGATTTTCCACATAGAGAAGGGAGAGGGATAGAGAGCTAGAAATGTTGATGAGAAAGAAACATCGACCAGCTGCCTCCTGCACACCCCCTACCGGGGATGTGCCTGCAACCAATGTACATGCCCTTGACCGGAATCGAACCTGGGACCTTTCAGTCCACAGACTGAAGCTCTATCCACTGAGCCAAACCGGCTTTGGCTGTTTTATGTTTTGGGGGCAACTTGAAATTTGGCTTTATAGGCAGCTAACTTTAATTTCTTCTGCCTTCATTCTGCTGCAGTATGTTTTGCTGGTTGAAGTATATGAGGAAAGAATCTGACCACATACCCACACACCGACAGATACGTAGTTTGAAAAGTAGAGTCTTTTAGTAGCTTTTTAAGGGAATTGTTGGTATTCTTCTTTATTGTACCAAAACTTAAAAGGTGGTTTCTTAGAGGTTAATGTAATGTAATGTAAGGAATCCAAAACTAAATGAAGTTTTTGTTGTGTGTTCCATTAAGTTCTATTGGTCTGTATCGCACTTTGAATAGATCTTTTATCCACATGGGATTTTGTACCATCAGGTGTTGGATATACGGAAAATGCTGAGCTGTATTCTTTTTCCATTGTTAATGCATTTCTTTATATAATCCCATAAAACTATAGCTGTAAATATCACCACTGATTTTGTCGGAAGTCTTTAGGTATTATCAAGTTCATGTGGCAGGTAAAAGTTTTCCAAAAACCTAATTTTCACTCAAAAGCTTGAATTTTATCATTGGCAGCAACTACTGTCCATTGTATTCCTAGAAGTGACACAATCACGTACATTTTCAAAAAGTCTGCAAGAGTCAAGTTTTCATAACCACAGTTCACATATCAATTGTTCTTTCAAGTCAGAACGATGTTCCGTGAAAGTGTCAGTTCCTACCGTCCTACTTAAGTTTGCAGCAGAAGCGCCTCATGTGCCTTTCCCATTTGTTACACAGAATAGTAAAAAAATGTACTTAATAAAGTTAATACTTTTTACTGCTTCATCAAGGAATCTGCTGCAGAGATTGGCTTTTGTCCCTTTCATTTAAGTGCGAGTGTGTGGCAGGACAGAATGTAACCACAGCGCAGCTTGATTTCACTTCCTTGCTGGATTCCTCCTAAGGTACCTGCAGAAGTCAATGAATTGAAAAAGGCAGGTGGCATTTTAGGAATTATGAAATTAGTTTTTTGACCTAACAGTCACCCCCTCCCCAGAAGTCTAGGGACCCTATTTTTAGAATTAATGGCTTTAGGATAGGGGAACAGGGTCTGTTTCAGTCATCTGGGACAAAAGTGCTCAGAGGAAGAAAAACTGAGAACCTGGGTGAGTACATGCTTAGAGGGCAGAAGTCAAGCAATTTTTAAAGGTTTGTGAAGTTTGTGCTAATGTTGATTCTTCTTGATAAGAGACTGGAGCTAAGACGCAACAGGTCTCCTTCATGCACTGGCCAAGGTGTTAAAGGAAAAGGGTACTTTATATAATAGCATAATATTCAGAGGGGAATTAGATCTCCAGAACAAAAATCTGGGCTCTGAGGTCCAACTACACCAGTCTTCCATTTTCAGCCTTTTAGTTCTGTGTTTCATGTTTTTGGTTCTTTAAGAACACACACACACACACACACTCAAGTCCTGGTGCACGAAACTCGTGCGCTCAGGGGAGGGGGTCCCTCAGGCCAGCCTGCACCCTCTCACAGGCCTGGAGCCATCAGTTGGACATCTTTAGCACTGTAGAGGAGGCAGGAGAGGCTCCCACCACCACCCCTACGTTTGCCAGCCACGAGCCAGGCTCTGGCTGAGCAATGCTCCCCATGGGAGCGCATTGAGCGTCTGCCCCCTGGAGGTCAGTGCGCATCATAGCGACCGGTTCCACCAGCTGATTTGCATATTAGCTTTTATTATATAGGATATATATGTATATATATAATTTAGAGAGAAAGAACCATTGGTGTGAGAGTGAACATCGATTAGCTGCTCACCCTCTCACCCCCCCTTTACTAGGGATGGAGCCCACCATCCTGGCGTGTGCCCTGGCCAGTGTGGCTCAGCTAGTTGGGCATCCTATGCACTGAAAGGTTGTTGGTTCGATTGCCTAGGTTTCATTTATTAAACAAAGTTGTAATTCCTGTTAAAAGCATCACATGCTAAACATGTCAGTTTGCACATAAAAAAAGTTTTCTTTTTATTGAATTTATTGTTAGCAAACCATACAGATTTCAGGTGCACAAGTCTACTGGATAGACATTTCATAAGTAGGGTGATGATGATTGCTATTTTCTTTGCTATGCTCTTTTAAAAAGATTTTCTGACTTTTTAAAAATGACAAAATAGTATTTTTATTGGAAAATTATTTTCATTAGCAAATGAAAAACTCCACAAAGTTTATGTGCTATTTCACCGTCTTTCTTCAGAGACTCGGGCATGGAGATAAGAATCATGCAGATGCAGACAGATCTCCTGTGTTTCTTCAGTTCATTGACTGTGTCTGGCAAATGACAAGACAGGTAACATATATATCCATTCTTAAATCCCTTTTTTAAGACTTCCAGTTGGAGTTGGGAGATTTGGAATTCTTGTAAGGTTCCTAGATAGCATAACTATTACCTGATTGTCACATTGTGAATTAAGCTAATGAATATTATTTGGAAGTAGTATTAAACACTTGACAATTTGATCCCATTAGCATTTCAGTGAGTGGCTCCATAATAACCAAAGAGGTTTCCTCTTCTATAGATAATTAGTAACACCAAGGCAGTACCTTTACCCAAAAGCTCATTTGCATAGGGTTAAAAAGATAAATGAAGAAACAGGCAAGTAAATTTAATGAAAAATGGGTTGGGTGGGAAATTATGGCAAGGTATATATAATAGATTCTCTTTTTTTCTTGGGTATAGAGAGATTTTTATTTTTTATTTTTTTAGAGCTTCTATCAACTTTCTAACAAACCAATGTGAAATTTAGTGTAAATGGTTTGGTATATTTAGATAGTCCAAGAGAGAAAAAAAAATCTGGCTAATTATGGGATCACCTCTTCCTAATGGGGCAATTGTTTGTTTGGGTCATAAAAATATTTAAATCTACTCAAGAAAAATATCTCAAAACCCAGAAGTGGGATACAGCTCATTGGTATGTCAGTTATCACCCAGGGGTTTATTAGGCCAGGCAGCTGGGTGTCTGGTTTGTTCTGAGTTAGATTCCCAGGAGAATATAAGGAAGGGAAATTGCTGGCTCTGCTATGCTTTAGGGTCACATTTTAGCCTCAAGAAAATACTATTTATTTCATTTAAAGAAAGTGGTGATCCTTAGGAAAGAAATACATCCATTATAGTGTACACTAAAGTTTGCCCCCTCACCCCCCCAACAATTTCAGTTTGGGTGGATTATTTGGAAACTTGCTGGGTTAAATATGACTACAGTATGATGAGGCTGGTATTTTCACACATTAATACTACAAATGTGTATACAATTCAGTTTTGTTCTGTGCATTAGGTTCTCATACGTTGTGGGAGGGGAAATGCTACATACTTTAATGTTTACTACTTCTTGGAACAGGTGTGAAATTTTCCTTTGGAATTGCCTTTGAGGTGAAGTATCAGCTCTACAAATCCTTACCAATCCTTTTTTGGGTTTTGACTAAAAACAATAGGACCCACTTAAAAAAAAAAATACACATGGGAGACATATTGATTGGTTGCTTCCCACATGCGCCCCCTAGTGGGCTGGGAATAGAGCCTGCAACTGAGGTATGTGCTCTTGATTGGAATCCCCGGACCCTTCAGTCCAGGGTGGACTTTCTATCTACTGAGCCAAACTGACAAGGGCAGGACCCATTTTTGACCATTATCATATTCAGTTTCTAAATAGCATTTGTCTGTTAGCAAAAGTCAAATGCCATATCAAAGGACTAAGAAAGTTGTGGGAAGCCATGGCATCATTGATGCTTATGTGGGCTGCTTCCCAAGGGGACTGTCTTAAAGGGGCAGCTAAGTGAATATATTAGTTCTGGTATGCATGCTTGTTACAAAAAACAAAAACAAAATTAACAGCTGTTTACATGGCAGAGTATATGACGAGTACATTTCTTCCTTAGTAGCTGTGTTAACTTTCTCTATGCTATATATCTAAAAGCAGTTTTACTTTAATGCTGAGCTTAAGGTCCTTAAATAGAAAATCAGTTTAATCTTGTTATTTAGATAGAACCTAAAATACATTAAAAAGTGATTCTTTTAGACATCTAGTTATATTTTTATGTACATTTTCTTCCTGAACATAAAATGTGTTTATTGGTAATCTTCAATTTTACAAAAAAATTGCGTGTTTGTACAGAGACTTGCACATTTGTCAAAATGAGGATTATGTTGCAATTAGCCAGATTCTACCTCTATTCCTACCAGCACCTTCATTCCTGGGATCAGGTAGCAGTGGATGAAGGGCCCTTGAGATTTTTAATATGTAAGGAGAACAAGAGATTTTAAAAGCAATGCCAGCAGTTAATGCTCTATGTGTTTTGTTGTGAGGAAATGCCCACTGATTAAGATGTCTTCTCATAACAGCTATCCACAAGCTCAGCTCTTCTGGGTTGCTATTTCATGAGTCAGAGTGCATGCATAGCTGGATAATAAATAAGGCTGAGTATTAACAGTCAGGTGATGGCATTTATTTTCTAAATAAATGGGATTTGACCAAGTTTCTTAAAATACTTGGAATTTTGTTAGCATGTGCTTGATCACCTGCTGCATTCATTCAGTTCCATAGCCACAACATGGAGTTACCATTCATCCTTTGAAAAATCTGCTATATTACCCTGCTTTTGCTTACAGTTTATGCTATTTTCCTTCACTACTGGGTAGGGATCATTCTAAAAAACAAAACAAAACACTTAACTTGGAATGAATGTTTATTTCCCAACTCTATAGTCTAAATGTTCATGGAATTCCTTTTCAGTTGTGTAATTGGTACAGTTTTATGTGGAAACATTGGAATAATTTTGAACCATTACATTGACAGGATGGATTAAACTAAATCCTTTACCTTCCAGTGGTTCTGTGTAAGACATCCAGTAGGCCCCTACCAAAGTGAATTTTCTTTAGTTGGAAAGAGGCTGCCAAAGTACTGGATTACATAATACTCCCGTTTGCCTGGATATTCTGTGAAAAGATAAGCAGATTCATTTTAAATGGTCTGCACATCTTCCTGGGACACTTATTTGTGTGCACTGATAACTTTTTTTGGAGACATTGATGCTATTTTTTTTTTGTAACTTCTAAAACAAAACAATGTTTTTGAAATTTAAAGAACAATCTTCCTAAGTTGTTTATGGTCATTTTTTGGCAGAGAAAGATTAGAATTGCCCAGGTCAAAATTCCTCAGTCTGTAGGGCTAGCAGATGTAGATTAGAAACATCAAGGTCTGACCATTCAAATTCTGGAGATTTTTGGGAGAAATAACCTTAAAACTTAAGTGGTAATTTTTGAACTGAAAACCAAGTGGCTAATGCTATAATGGCTTAGAAATATATTTTTGAGTATTGTTTAGCCTACTTTTAAATATTATAAAGGATATACTCATAACCTACAGGGTGAATATGCTTGAAAAAATGTCTTAATAGTTTTGTGTTTGTGGTGTTTGATTTGTAGTTTCCCACAGCATTTGAATTCAATGAATACTTTCTCATTACCATTTTGGACCACCTGTATAGCTGTTTATTCGGAACATTCCTTTGTAACAGTGAACAGCAGAGAGGAAAAGAGGTAAAATAATGAGCCCCTATCCTGGTTTACCCTCAACATGTATTTTCCCTGCTAGAGTGTATTTTGTGATGGATTGCAACTAAACAGTTGTTCTTTTGAATGATTTCTTTGGCCATACTTTATTTTATATGCTTTAATATGATTCCTTCCTCCCATACTTCTGAGCCTGATCTAGTATTTTAAAGTACCTCTGTTACAATGCTAAAGATGCCAGCTAGCTGCCAGGTGAGTTATGGGTGGGAAGTAGTGTCTGCTAAGGAGCACTAGTGTACCTGTTATCCTTGCAGGATGGAAAACTCTTCAGAGCAGGTGCAGAAAGATATATTTGAGTAAATGAATAGCTCAAATCTAAAAAATACATTGTTCATGAGTCATTTTATTTTTTAAATTGTAAAATAATACTGTAAAACATTCAAACACTGAAAAGATACTACTATGTATAAAGTTTGTTGTTCCATTTCACCAAAGGTATTACTGATGATTGGTGTTATTTACAACAAACCATATAAGGATTACTTCTGTATGAAATTCTTAATCCTATTGATCAGTGCATCAATTTTTATTTTTACAAAGGTGGCTAATAAATAGATTTTCCATGCTTTTCTATAAAGCAGTGGTGGAGCACCTTTTTTTCTGCCAAGAGCCATTTGGATATTTATATTATCATTCTCAGGCCATACGAAATTATAAAAAAATTAGCCTGCTGTTTTGGATCAAACATTGAGTGAACCCCCTCCACACCCCCCATGTCTTGGCAGGTCCAGACCAAATGGTTTTGAGGGCTTTAAAGGCCTTTGGGCCAGACGTCCCCACCACTGCTGAAGCAGAGAGCAGAGTTGCTTGCTTTGAGACCTTGGATTTGTCACGTATTGTGTGACATCTGGCAAGTTAATTTCTGCTTCTGTGAAACGGGTAATATTACTTACTGGTGTGAGGATTAAATAAACCATACAAAATACTATAATCATTGCCATGTAGTAAGTGCTTCCTGGACTATATTTTTAATTCACCATAATATCTTTAATGTCTACTAGCACACAGTAAATAACTGTCTGCACAGTAGGCACTCAAGAATTGGTTGAATGTTAGATAATTCAGAATAGCTAAATACTTTCATTTTTGAGGCTTGAATAGGATTTACTTTATTTTTTAAAAGGACCGTTTTTACCGAGGTATAATTTGCATTCCATAAAATTCTTTAAAAAGTGTATTGCTTAGTGCAAGCATGTCATCAGGCCGCAAGTTTGACAAGCTTGGTTTAGTGGTTTTTAATATATCTAGAGTTGTACAAATGTCAGCACTATGTTCACAACATTGGAAAGAAACTGTGTACCTGTTAGTAGTTATTCGCCCTTCTCCTGCCCTCCTAGTGCCTGGCAAACCCTAATCTGTCTTTGTGGCTTTGCCCCTTTGGGCCATTTCACGGAAATGGCGTTATTCAGGATGTGACCCCAGTATCTGGCTTCTTTCACATAGCATAAGGTTTATTTTGTAGCTGGTATCAATACTTTATTCCTTTTTATAGCTGTTGTATAAACTACTTTGTCCATTTGTCAGGTGATAGACATTCAGATTTCTTTTTGGCTATTATAAGCAATGCTTATTATAAGCAATGCTGCTTTGAACGTCTGTGTACAGGATTTCATGTGCCTGTTTTCAAACCTAAGAGTGGAAATGGCACAGTAACTCTGTGTTTAACTTCCCCAATACTCTGATTTTAATGTCTGTCGCTAAGGTACCAAAGAGATCACAACATACCTCTCTGTAACTTTCATCTGAAGTACAAAGAGCTCATGTGATGAATATCTTCCTTTTACAGAACCTTCCTAAAAGGACGTTGTCACTGTGGTCCTACATCAACAGCCAGCTGGAAGACTTCACTAATCCTCTCTATGGGAGCTACTCCAATCACGTCCTTTATCCAGTAGCTAGCATGCGCCACCTAGAGCTCTGGGTGGGATATTACGTGAGGTGGAATCCACGTATGAAACCACAGGTATGCTGTGCAATACACTGGGAGTTTTCATCCTTGCAATTGTATAGTAACTAGAAAAATATTTAAAACTTATAACTACAGTTAGAACTATATAGTAGAAAAAGCACTACAGAGGGGTAATCAGTATTCTTGGTTCTTATCCTTCCTGACTGCTTAAGATTGCTTTGAAAATAACACTTCTATTTTGTCCTTTCTCCGCTGTACAATGAAGGCATCAGACTGGATTAACTTCTAGAGGCCTTGCTATATTAGGTTGGAGAAATATGAAATTTTGGTTCAGTTTGAAATATGGAATACTTAACTACTTATAACTCTTCAAAAGACTAAAAACCTCAAACTAAACTATAGGGATTATTTGACATTGGCTTTTAGATCATATTATTTGTTATATTTGGAAAATTGCCAGCTTTAGAATATTCTGTGGAAATGCTTGGGGGCAATGGGAAAGCCAGAGGAAGAGCAGTGGTGCTGGGAAAAAACCCCACATTGCAACATTTAGTAGGGACAGGACTACATACCAGAAAATGTGACTTTGGGCTTGTTTAGAATTGCCTAGTTGGAATAATTTTGTGGTGTTTTGCTTTTGTAGGAGCCCATTCACAATAGATACAAAGAACTTCTTGCTAAACGAGCAGAACTTCAGAAAAAAGTAGAGGAACTACAGAGAGAGATCTCCAACCGATCAACCTCATCCTCAGAGAGAGCCAGTTCTCCTGCACAGTGTGTCACTCCTGTCCAGACCGTGGTGTGAAAGGACTGTTAGCTGGACCATTACCACCACAAACTCCTCATTACAAATGGCAGCTCTGAGTAAAGTCTCCTGAATTTAGAACCCATCTGTGAGAGAAAGTCTGTCCTTTATTTATTTAAATCTGAGTTTAGAACTGTAGCAGTGCAGGGGGCTTAAGTGAAATGACCCCACATATAATTACATGATCATAACACTAATCTTATTAAATTACCCAAAGAATATTAAAATGCTTCAATCCTCAATCTGCAGTGGGAACAAGTTTCTGATTTTAAAAGGAAAATGTTCTTAGAAATTTTGGTGTCTAGTAAAATCAAAATACAACCACTTCAAAAATATGATGACTCTTGATGAAAGAGAGCTCATTGCACAGAGGAGGCGGAGCATCACTTTCAAACCAACACTAAAGTTCCATGGCATTATACACACTGTAATCTCACAACGCCTTTTCCCATCCTGGGTATTCCTTTTTTTGTGGTAAGTGATCTACTTTGATCACCCACATTTTTCATATATGATAAGGCAAAGTCTTAAGGATATTATGGTATAGTTGAAAATTTTGTCATTATTTATGTACTTATTTAAGATGCATTACTAAATAGCTATCCAAAATGATGTCTTAAAGAGGTGCTTGTGAATAGGATGGAAAGGAGTAGCTGTCCAGGATTTCAAAAATTCCACATCCTTCAGATTAGTTTACACTTGACCAAATTATTAGAAGTAACATTGAAAAGCTTACTATCTACCCTACTTCAGATTTTTTTTGGTATATCTGAGCACATTAAAATATTGCCTCAAAATTTAGCAATTAATTTAAGTTTACCAGGATTCATTTTTTTCTGAAATCTACAAATTGCTTATAAGCATTATGCTCAAATTTTACATGAAATATTTTACTACTGTCCTTTGCAAAGCCTGTACTTCCACTGAATGATAGTCTACCAAAGAACTTGTTGCATATAAAAATGTATTACAACCTGAAAGCCAGAAAAGGAACTCCCGCTTCACTGTACACCTGCTGCAGCAGGAGTTCAGTGCTGGTATAAACTGAACTCCTTGATGCCTGTTACTCTACAGGAGCCATAGGTTATGTACTGTAACAAAGCAGCTTCTTGGCCCTTGGGTCTTTAAATAAAAGGAAATTTCGAGTGAGTTTTTTTTTTTTTTTTTTTTTGAGGAAAGGGGTATTCTTTCATCTGTTTCAAAATGAAATGTTCAATTTGAACTTATTTTTCCTCTAATACACAAATCAAACAATACAGTGTTTGTTTTCACTTGTTCATTATAGTCTGAACCTTAGCCTGCTCTTCTTGTCTATGTGGAATTTTGTCATTATGTAAAATTTCGTAAGGAAATTTATAATCAGGATTTAAGTGGCCAGTCTATCAGTATTAAAGCTAACTTTTCTATTCCAAGTATTTTATACACCCATTCTCTCTTGTCCATTCTACCATTCTCATTTAAGCTTTTATTATCTTGGTCTTATATGTAGATGATGCACTGCACACTAGGGCACCCAAGAGCTCATCACCAGTGCATCCCAAAGGGGGTGAATTGAACCTAGGAGGGAGCTAGAGCCACGCAAGCTGCATTGGTGCTAATGGTGGCAGACTCATTAGCAGAGGTGGTAGAAAGAGATGAAGGAACATTTGCTCAGCTATCTGGACTGTAGCTGAGTCCCATTGCTCTTCAACATCCATCTGAGACCTCTTTGACTGGGGGAAGGGGAGGAGGAGGAGAGAAAAGAGAACACAAAAAATTGAAGGTACACATTTCCTGCTGACTGCCCCAGGATTCTAGCAAGAGGCCTGCCTCTGACCTAACTCGATTTTCCTACTGGGCTGTAGGCAGAGTCAAAGCCACCATGCTAAGCATACACCTCCTCCCACTCTGCCACCAGCCTGTTTTTGGACAAGCTGCCCTTTTTTATGTACACATTTTCAACTTCAGCAGCAAGTCAGCTCCAGTAAGATAAAAACTGAAGTTGTAGCATCACCTTCTGGAAACTGAACTTCTGTCAATCTGTTGTACTGTAGAATCAAAGTAGCTGTATGAAGCCTTACCTAAATAAGATGTTCACTACCCAAAGGTGGCAGCAGAAGCACACTTTGTCAAAAACTTATGAAAACTCATGGCAATATATCACAAGACCAAAAAACTCCAGCAAACAAAACCAAAGACACAGCATACTGTGGTCCAACTGGTAAATAATTAAAAATATGATGAAATTCAACAAGCTGAAAGGCAATTCAATAAACTCAAGAATGAAATTTAAAATACTATTTTATCAAGAGATTTAAATTCTAAAAAAAAATCAAGAGTTGGTGAACTCAATAAGTTAGATTAAGAATGCATCAGAAAGTATTGCAAATAGAGCAGATGAGAGGGATGAGAAAATAAATGAGCAGGAGAGGAATTTATAAATTATTCAAGTGAAAAAGGACAAGAGAATTAAAATTTTTAAAAAGGGAAGAAACCTTACAAGAATCATCAGACTCCATTAGAAAAGCCAACACAAGATTATTGGGTAAGGAACACGTCCAAACTCTTCTATGAGGCCAGCATTACCTTAATTTCTATAACAGCTAAAGACACTACAGAGAGCACTACAGGCCAATAAACCTGATGAAAATAGATGCTAAAGTCCTCAATAAAACGTTAGCAAATCAGATCCAGTAATACATCATGTATCATGACCAAGTGGGGTTTATTCCGGGGATGCAAGGCTGGTATAATATTCACAAAATAAGTTATATAGCACATAAACAGATTGCCGGACAAAAATCACATGAACATATCAATTGATGCATAAAAGACAGTCCACAAAATCCAACATCTTTTTTTCAGCAAAGTTGAGGAATTATACCTCAACATAATGGTCATATTATGACAAACCTACAGCCAACATCATACTCAATGGGCGAAAACTAAAACCGTATCCCCTAAGAACACGAACAAGATAAGGATACCCTCTTTCACTACTCTTGTTCAACATAGTTCTGGAAGTCCTGGCCTTTGTGATCAGACAAGAAGAAAATATCCAAATTAGAAAGGAGGAAGTAAAACTCATTATTTGCAGAAGACATGATACTATACATAGAAAATCCCTTAAAGATTCCATCAGAAAACTACTAGATTTAATAAATGAATTTGGAAACAAATAGGACACAAAATTAACACCCAAAAATCCATAGCATGTTTACACCAATAATGAACTTAGAAACAAAAACCACCCCATATACCATTGCAACAAAAAAATTAAAATACTTGGGAATAAACTTAACCAAGGAGGTAAAAGACATGTACTCTGAAAACTACAGGATGTTTAAAAAAGGAAGATATAAACAAGTGGAAAAATAAACCATGTTCATGGATTGGTAGAATCAACATAATTAAAATGTCCATACTACCCAATGCAACCTACAGATTCAATGCAATACCCATTAAATACCACTGGCATTTTTCACAGACCTAAAACAAACACTCCAAAAATTTATATGGAATCAAAAAAGATCCTGAATAGTTGCAGCAATTTGGAGAAAGAACAACAAAATTGGAGGAATCACAATATCAGATTTCAAGTTCTATTACAAAGCTACTGTGCTCAAAACAGCCTGGCACTGGCACAAGAACAGGCATACAGACCAATGGAACAGAACAGAGAACCCAGAAATCAACCCAAGACATTATGATCAATTAATATTTGACAAAGGAGGCAAGAGCATACAATCGAGAAGAGACAGTCTCTTCAATAAGTGGTATTGGGAAAATAGGACAGGTACATGCAAAAAAATTACACTACACCACCAATATATACCACACAGAAGTATAAACTCAAAATGGATAAAAGACTTAAATGTAAGATATGAAACCATAAAAGTCCTAGAAAGGCAACTAAACCTCAGACACCTCTCATAGCAGTACGTTTAGGAATATATCACCTAGGACAGTGGTCAGCAAACTCAGTCAACAGAGCCAAATATCAACAGTACGATGATTGAAATTCCTTTTGAGAGCCAAATTTTTTAAACTTCTAATGTCACTTCTTCAAAATAGACTCGCCCAGCCCGTGGTATTTAGTGGAAGATCCACATGTGGCTCGCAACTACGGTCATAGGTCAAAGACAGACAAATATCAAATGATCTCACTCAGATGTAAAATCTAATGAACTAAATAAACTAATGATCAAAAACAGACCAGAGTCATAGAAGCACGAACAGATTGTTGAACCTCAGAGGAAGGCAGGGTAGGGAGGTGGGAAGAGATCAACCAAGGAATTTGCATATATGCATAACCTGTGAGCAGACAATGGGGTAGTGAAGGCGTGGTGGTGGTGGTGGTGGGGGGGGAGGATGGCCTTTGTAATATTTTCAACAATAAAGATTTTAAAAAGATTATTGGGTGGAAGGAGAAGAGAGAAAGCAGCAAAACATTTTAAAAAATAATAGCCATGAATTTCCTAATCCTGGGGAAAAAACTGGAACACAATTATCTCAATGTATAATACTATCTCCATGAGACAATGAAATTGTCAAAGAAGTTGATAAGAGTTTTAAGTGCAGGTGGGGATGGAGGTGACAGTAACCTACGAATGAACTCCTAGGCCCATGATCGGCAAACTGTGGCTTGTGAGCCATGTGGCTTTTTGGCTCTTTGAGTGTGGCTCTTCCACAAAATACCACGGCCTGGGCAAGTCTATTTTGAAGAAGTGGCGTTAGGAGAAGTTTAAGCTTAAAAAATTTGGCTCTCAAAAGAAATTTCAATCACTGTACTGTTGATATTTGGCTCTGTTGACTAATGAGTTTGCCCACCACTGTCCTAGGCTAACAGCAGATTTCTAAGCAGAAACTCTACCGACCAGGAGACAGCAGAAGGACATACTCAAAATTTTGAAAGATAAAGTTTGCTACCCAAGAATACTTTCAAAGAAAGTTATCCTTCAGTTATGCAGCAGAAATAAAAATTTTCCTTAAAGTGAGGAATTCACCAACTGCCTTGTAAGAAATGTTGAAAGGTCTTCAAACAAATAAAAAGGTGGAAGTATACAAACTCTTAATAAGGTGACAGAATTTGAAAACTGTATTTTAGAATTACTAGTGGCACAGGTGGGGGGAGGGGTCCCTTAGCGTGGCTTGCACCCTCTCCAATCTGGGACCCCTTGGGGGATGTCCAAATGTCTTTTCTGACCACTGTGGCATGGACCTAGAAAGCATGAGGAAAGTAAAAAGATCACAACCAAATAAGAAAAAAGGAAATAAAAAGTTAACTTGAAATAAAAATGAAAATACAACATACCGAATCTTGTGGAAGGAGGCAAAAGCAATTCTCAAAGATCATAGCAATAAACACATATATTAAAAAATTAGATCTCAAATAAGAAACTATAAAAAAGAGCAACAAATTAAGCCCATAGCAGAAGGAATAAACTATAAAGATCAGCATAGAAACAAGAGAGCAGAAAAGCAACAGAAAAAGATCAATGAAAATAAGAGGTGGTTCACTGAAAAGATAAAATTAACAGACCTTTAGCTGGACTAAGTCAGAAAGCTTTAGAAAGGAAAGAAAAGACACTACAACTGGTACTACAGAAATATGTAAGGATTATAAGAGTCCTGTGAACAATTATATGCCAAAAAATCACATAACCTAGGAGAAATGGATACATTTCTAGAAACACATAACCTACCAAATTTGAATCAGGAAGAGATAAAAAATATGAACAGACCAATAATGAGTAAAAAAGTTGAATCAGTAATTAAACAACTACCAACACGGAAAACTCCAGGACCATAGGTGATGGCTTCCCGGGTAAGATAATAAAGCATTTAAACACAGATTAACGTCCATCCTCCCCAAACTCTTCCAAAATATTAAGGAAGACGCAACACTTCCAAACTTGTAACAGGAGGCATTATATTGATTTAAAAACAGGACAGCACAAAAAACTATAGACCAATATCCCTCATGAATATACATGTAAAAATTCTTTGAAAATATTAAGAAACCAAATTCAAGGACACATTAATAGGATTATACACCACGAATTCGTTCCTGGGATACAAGGATAGTTCCACATATATTATTCATATATAATGTTTCACATTACTAAATTGAAAGATAAAAATCACATCATTTCAACAGGTATAGAAAAAGCATTTGACAAAATGCATCATCCTTTCTGGATTAAACCTTTTAACAGACTGAATAAAGAAGGTAATCATATGAGACACAATCATATGAGACACATCTACAGATAAAATACTCAACTTTGATCCTCCAAAGTTAGGAACAAAACATGGATTCCCACTTTCACTACTTATTCAATATAGTTTTAGAAGTCCTAACAAGAGAAATTAGGCAAAACAAATAAAATGCATCTAAGTAGGAAAGGATGAGTAATATTGTCTTTATTTACTGATGATATGATTTTATCTAGACAAAATCCCCAAAATGAACTCTAATGGATCAAAGACTTATACATAAGCCTGGATACCATAAGAGGGTACTAGAAGAGAATGTAGAAAACAAGCTCTTAGATATGATATTTTTACATGATGCCAAAAGCAAAATCACCAAATGAAACTGCAACAAATTAAAAAGATTCTGAACAGCAAAAAAGCAACAAAAAACAATTGCAGAGTGGGAGAAAAGACAACCTGCAGAGAAATTTCTTGCAAACCATTTATCAGATAAGGTATTAACACTCAAAATATATAAAAAACTCATAAACTAACAACAAACCCAATCTAATTTTATTTATTTTATTTTATTATTATTTTTTTTATATAAACAGTTTATTTACTCTAAACAGCAACACAGACAAAACGCCATATAAACACAAAGGAAGTGATGCGAAAACAAGAGGCTGGCTGACTTTGGATCTGAGGCTTATAGCAACACAACCCGGGTTCTGCGGAGAGAAGGACAGAGGCGCAAGGGAAGGGAACAGGCTGATTTCCTGTTCTTACAGCCAGCTGGAGGGTAGTGTAGCTCTGACAGGGGGAAGCATGCCGCACCCGCGAGCAAAGGGAACTAGCTCCTCAGGGACTCATTGAAGTATAAAAGTTTATCATTTTACAGCAGTTGAAATACTGACATCAATATTAAAATAAAAGTTTTACATAACAATCAAAATACAAAAGACTGAAGGAAGAGACCCTGTATGAAAAACTGGGCATTCAGCAAGTGGAGAACTGTGTACCAGTGGCGGAAATGGAAAATGGCGCCCGCCCACCTCCCCTAGGTGACTAGTAATTGAATAGAGCAACGCTAGATCTGCAGATGTTGTAAACCAGTTCTTGCCAAACCAATCCCTTCCTTTTGATGTTGCCGCAGGTCGCTGCTTATGAGGGTGCAAACTTCTTGGCTTGTGCTCGAACCCTTTTCTCATATTCCACTCTGTTTTGGCAGTAAATTGTGTAGGCCTCTGCTTGAGCTGGATCTTGAATATTTGGTTCATTTAGAAGTTCCTGTATTCCTAATAAGATCTGCTTAATTGTGATGGCTGGCCTCCAGTCCTTGTCTTCCTCGAGGATGGACAAGCACACAGTGCCCGAAGGGTACACGTTCGGGTGAAATAATGGTGGTTCAAATTTGCATTTCGGAGGTGAGGGAGGATAGTCATCTTTGAAGAGCATGCGTAGTTTAAACAAGCCTCCTTCCCAAGGGGTAAATGGGTGGTCGTTTCTCCAAGCTTTCCTCTCCTGGGCGAGTCTGCTGAGGGCGATCCCCGACATATTCAAAGTCCTAGGGCGGCCGCGGCCCGGCGAGTGAGGCGGACGAAGCGGCGGCGACGGAGGCGGCGCGGCACTTCCTTTGTCTCGGGACTTCCCTCCCGAGCCCGCTCCGCGCGCACCCCAATCTAATTTTAAAAAGGGACAGAATGACTTTTGCAAAGAGAATATTGAGTTTTATGTATAACTTCATAAATAACTATTGAGTATTTGTCATATAGGAGCTATTTTTTCCTTTAGGATAAGGAATACACAATTTAGAGACCAGTAAGATTAAGTTGAAGCGCCTTACTCATCCTTTGACTCATCTGTGACTCATCCTATGACTCATTTGCTTACCCTATTTTTCTTATCTGCATACATCTACATTTATGTACTACATAGCAGTTCTACTTAGTTACAATGCTCCTATGTAAACTGCAGATTCATTTTATCTTGTTGACCTGAAACTGTTCTTCCTTTTGGCTAATTCCTGTTCTCTAGTGTTTAGGCATCATTTCCCCCTCCTGGAGGTTTTTCCTGATTCACGGGCACCTTCTCTGCCGTGCCCCACCTTTCCTCTGTGCTCCCGTACCATGTGCCCATGCTATCACCACTGCATTCACATTGTACTGAAATGAAGGATCATTCAGATATCTACCACCTACCTGTAAACATACCTTTCTTACTCAGCTTGGTATCCATTCTGGCACCTTACACATAGAAGATTCTTGTGTTTGAAATGTATTGCAACAAAGCTCTCATACAACAGAATTGGATGAATGACAACATAATCCTCTGCTGTAAACTCAAATCAGGAGGCTGAAGCAGTATTTTCTTGTTTTCAGTTTCACCTAAGGGTATCAAAAGATGGAGTGAATATTTTGGTTTTTTACTCCTAGCTGAAAGATGGGATAGATCTTACCAACATTAAACCACTCTTCTAATTAGGACTTGGAGCCACTATAATGCAAATGAGAGTTACACAATTTAATGACCTGGAATTCAAAAACAAAAGGCAACAAAATTTTAATAGTTGAAAAAGTAATGAGACACATGAAATATTTTCCATGTCATGGAACAGTGATTCCTTGGGTCTGCAGATTCACAGCTATGCATTCAATAAAGATACAAACCTGCTCATCAGAAAATTGTACATGCAAGCAAAAGTTTACATACAATTTCAGTAAATTCACAAATACCCCCAAATGTAAAGATCCTAAAATAATAACTCTATAGAACAATAACTTAATAAGCATAGTGCCTAGACAGCCAATACAATTCATGATGGTTATCTAGAAAAAATCCTAGAAATCTATTTCAATCCCAGAGGAGGCATAAAAATGAATTTCTTTGATATGTGGCTAATGTGTTCCTTAGTACCCTAAGAGTATCTTAACCTGTACCACAAGATAATTCAATTTTCTTGGACTTAGTTTCCATGTAAGCACGTTAAAGGCAAGTAAATTATGTATTTATAAATAACATATATTATTATTTTTTCGCATAGTATACTACTACTTGGAAATGCATTTAAAAAAATTACAACAAAAAAAGCCTTATTAACAGGCTGTTAAGGAAAATTTCAGTGTTTCCTTAAAAAAGCTGTTTTATTGACTTAAATGGCAAATTTATAAAAGGTTAACGTTTTTATATATTCAAAATGAATTACATTATTAACATAACAATTGCACGTGTACAGTTAAGACTGCAATCATACTTACACCAATAAAAGTAAATATCCAAAGAATGCTTCGAATTGAATAGCATAATTACAAACACGTACTATTTAAAAACAAGTGTTTCCAATACCTCCCCTTCTCTTCATTCCAAAACTTCAGTTACTTAACAATTTGTTTATACTTAAAAAAAAATTCTTTCATAATCTTCACAGTTCATTGACTTAAAATGAATGATTGAGTCTTTTTAAAAACTTTAACTGTATTCAATATTGATTGGTTTGAAATGTCAAAAAGCAAAATTAAAACAATCTTCTTAAATATGTATAAATATTTAAATATAGAAAACCTCCATCAAAAGTCAAAACAAAGTATATTTAATGTTTGTAGTAGTAAGAAGGGCAATTCATGCCAGAGAAATATTTAAAAATGAGACTTTTCCAGCAAACACTGCCTATGGGACAGCCTCTATTTTGATAATTTAAATCTAAATTTACTTAGACAAATAAAGAACTATTTTAAAAGATCACACCCACAAGTAAAAAATTGGTATTTTGTTTACAAAGCACAATATTTCAGTACAACAAATTCATCTCAAACAAAGTATATGTGGCTTCTTAGCCCCTGAAACTCCCAATTTCTCTTTCGATGATTTAACATTGAGTTGTGATGTGCAAGCACAAGAAGCCTGTGTGTTGAATAAAGCGTGGGCCTATTAATTCCAACACAAGAATATGAGACCTGGAAAAGAAATTGTCAACATTTGATTGATGAAGTACAGGTTACTGAATAAAATTTATAACCTGGTACCAGTTAGTAATCCCAACACAAATTATTGCTTTGTAATGAACTCTGTATGGTTTGCATGTCCTTCAGTAACTGAAGATTTTTTCTGCTTTTTTCCCCAGGTCTGGGTTTGGTACAGTCCTTCTTATTCGTGGTCCCTGTGTTTCCAGAAGAACGGCTGCTGCTGTTTCCTTCTTCATCAAGAGTCTTTTTGGTGGGTCTTAGTTCCCTTTTCTGTTTTTCTATTTTCTGTTTCTCCAGCTGTAACAAATAACCAAGTCAAGAAAAAAAGAAGAATTTAATTAAAACATTTTTTTGACAACTGGTACTTTAAACTCTCATACCAAAATGCAAGTATTATAGCCTGGCCAGCATGGCTCAGTGGTTGAGCACTGACTGACCTGTGAACCAGGATTCCCAGTCAGGGCATATGCCTGGGTTGTGGGCTCGACCCTGTGTGGGGTGTGCAGGAGGCAGCCAATCAACAATTCTCTCCTTCACTGATGTTTCTCTCTCTTTTTCTCTCTGAAATCAATAAAAATAAAAATAAAAATAATGTATTTTGGGTGTGTGTTTTTTTTTTTTAAACTTCAAAAATCTAATTTACCAGTCATTTAATACTTAGTGCTTAAAATATATAGTGACATATAAATAAGTAAACAAGAGTAAACATATCAATTGTGGTACAGTATCAGAAGTTAAGGTCATGTTGCCAAAGTGCAGAACAGGGTGAATGAGAAGTAAGAGGGCTGGGAGAAGAAATGAAACTACAAATGAAACGAAATATTTCCTTCTGGAGGAGGAAAAATACTGGAGACAAGGTAAATGAAGGATAGTATAATAGGTGAAGGAGAGAAGAAAGATTCTAGCCTGGGCAGGCCAAGAAGCATGCTTCAGATGGATGAAGAGATGTAGTGGTAATGTATTAATATATGAAAATAATTTTTATTTTATTATTACTATAATTAGAATAATTTAATTTTAATAGGGAAGCTTTATTTTTACTTTAGCTGCTGGCTAAAATGAACTGCTGCTGACATGTCAGTGTCCCACTGGAGAGAACTGGCTTCCCAGAGAGTTTTACCAAACATTCAAAGAAGAATCAACACTTATCTTCCTTAAAATATTCCAAAATATTCAAGAGGAAGGAACACTTTCAAGCTTGTTTTATGAGGCCAGCACTATCCTAATCCCAAAACCGGATGAATACATGACAACGAAAGAAAATTATAGGGCAATATCCATGAACATAGATGCTAAAGTCCTCAGCAAAATGTTAGCAAAATGGATCCAGCAATATATTAAAAAGATCATACATCATGACCAAGTGAAATTTAGTGCAGGGATGCCAAGCTGGTACAATATTAGCAAATCAATAAACAAAATGAAGGATAAAAACCATATGATCATATCAATAGACACAGAAAAAGCATTTGACAAAATCCAGCAACCACTTTTGATAAAAACTATCAGCAAAGTGGGAATAGAGGGAGCATGCCTCCACATAATAAAGGCCACATAGAACAAACCTATAGCCTATATCCTACTCAATGGGCAAAAATTAAAAGTGTTTCCCGTAAGAACAGGAACAAGACAGGGATAAGCGCTTTCACCATTCTTATTCAACAATGTCCTACCACTGTGATCAGACAAGAAAAAGAAATAAAAGACATTCAAATTGGAAAGGAGTAAGTGAAACTGTCATTATTCGAAGATGATGTGATACTGAACATAGAAAACTTGAAAGACTCCATAAAAAAACATGAGTTAATAAAGGAATTCAGCAATGTAGCAGGATACAAAATTAACATCCAGAAATGGATGGCATTTTTATACACCAATAATGAATTCTCAGAGAAACTAAAGAAAGCAGACTCATTTACCAATGCAACAACAAAAAGAAGTAAATACCTAGGAATAAACTTAACCAAGGAGGTAAAAGACCTCTTACTCAGAAAACTATCGGGCATTGTTTTAAAACCAAGAAATAGAGGAATATACAAGCAAGTACAATAGAAGCATATAGCCCGTTCAAAGATTGGAAGAATTAACGTAATTAAAATATCCATTCTACCGAAAGCTATGTATAGATTCAATGCAATCCCTATTAAAATACCATCCACATACTTCACAGATCTAGACCAAATATTCAAAAACTTTGTATGGAACCAGCAAAGACCATGAATAACCATAGCAGTTCTTGAGAAAGAACAACAAAGCTGGAAGGATCACAATACCAGATATCAAACTATATTACAAAGTCATTGTAATATTATAAAAATAGTTTGCTACTGACACAAGAACAGGTATATAGATCAATGGAACAGAATTGAGACCCCAGAAATCAACCAACACCATCAGTCAATATTTAACAAAGGTGGCAAGAACATATTGTGCTCAAGACAGCCTCCTCAATAAATGGTGTTAGAAAAATTGGAAAAGTACATGCAAAAAAATGAAACCAGATCACCAATTTATACCATACACAAGAATAAACTCAAAATGGATAAAAGACTTAAATGTAAGTCACTAAACCATACAAATCTAGAAGAAAACATAGGCAACAAAATCTGAGACATCTCATGTATCAGAATTTCCACTGAAAACATCTAGGGCAGTGGTCGGCAAACTCATTAGTCAACAGAGCCAAATATCAACAGTACAATGATGGAAATTTCTTT